ATATGTACCATATCAATAGTAGAGGTGGGATTCCTCATTTTTTTTAAGAGAGATGCTATAAATATGATATGAAAACGGCTTCCCACTTAATGTTGAATACACCACACTATATTAAATGATTTATACATCTAATATCCAATGACAATTTTGACCTTATAAGGATTTAAAAAAATAAAATAGAAATTAACTACACCCCCAAATAACTCCTAACGTGCATATTTCAAAATTATTTATCTTTTGTCAATATTTCAACTCTCAAAACCAATCGCAACCTCCATTGTAGAACAGATCCACTCATTCCTTAGGGCCGAGCGGGTGGGATGCCATTAACTTACAAAATGCTAATGGCAAAAAACATTCACTCATTCTTCAGAGCCATTGTTGACCTTTACATGCGCTTTTAGTTGTGTCTCGTGGTTCAGACAGGCAAATTACACATTCTTTGTGCAAATCACCTTCAACTGAATTACTAATGCCAGATATCTCATGTAGTTCATACCTCATCCCATTCACCCAAAGAATTTTCTTTACAACCCTAACTTGGAATTCACCTTTCTCCCTCTAAAATAACCTGAGTTATCTAGGAGTTTGTTGTTATAAACACGAAGCTTCCCTCTGATCTATCATGGGCAGAAGGGCACAGCTATTTATATATATATATATATCCAAGTCCGCTACTTTCAGTAACCTTGTATCCTCAAACATTAAGAAGTTAATTCCAGTTTCGTGGGGCTGCCTAAACTTGTGGCCCAGGCCTCGTTCAAAATGTACCATCATAGGTGGATGAAGGTTAAAATGAATTGTCATTTTTAGGATACACCCCATTGCTGATCAATGTTCACTAGTTAGAAAAACATTGAGCAAATCCTTGTTACTAAACAATAATTTAAGGGAAAAAGTTGAGCAAATCGATCATTGTATGAGATGAATGATTTTGTAACAAATGAGACATAGCACAAACAAAAAATGAAGAAAGAAACCATTGTGAAGAGTGTGGAAATGTATGTAGAAAATGTGAGGTGTATGTAGAAAATGTAAGGTGTATGTTGAGAATGGGGTGTGAGGGTATTATGGGAAAACACATGAGGTGTATTATATTTGGGAGTCTTAACGAAACACTCCTGGTACTATTCACTTTTAACATTAATGACATTTTTATTATGAAAAGTGGTACTATTCACTTAAAACATTATTTTGTCCTTTTGATTAAAACTAAAGTTTTTTAGGACATTTTTGGTTAGTTTTCCTAAATTTTAAATGAAAAAGTAAATGTGGGATGTATTAAGTTTCCGGAGTGTATTCAACAATATGTGGGGAGTTAACATAACAAGCCTATGAAAAATGTGATAACAATAGCATTTTCTAGTGTATATGTATCTTTGGCTACTGATCAACTAGATATGTTAAGAAATTGCTCTAATGAATATAGGGGCGTGTTTACGTGTCGTAATCGGAATCAATTTAAGGAATTGTATTCCGACTACGGAGTACTCCTTCGTTTACTTAACTTTGGGAAATTAAATTGTATGTGGGGTCCACACCAATTTGGGAATCTCACTCCTTATTTTGGAGGAATTGGACTCCCTACATGAGGGAGGTATTTCAAGTCCTGGACACCTGAGGAATCCATAATGGATTTCTTCTACCAATTATGCCCTCTCTTGTTTCTAATTATCCCAACATTGCCCTTCATTTGACACTCATCCAGCCATGCTCATTCTCCATCTCTGCCGCATCACATACCTAGCCTAGTCTCCATACATTTCACCGAATCGCTGGACTCTTACCTGAATTCGACCGTTGCACTCTTAACCGACGTAGTGGACCAAGATCGAAACGGGGACGAGACCGATCCGCGTTGGACCATGAATTGCCTAATTATGGGGCGGTGGCTATGGAGGCATAAGGGGGTGGAAGATAGAGACAGGGCAAGGAAAGGCAAGAGTGGGTGGAGGGTAATGCAACTGGACCTTCAGGATGAAAGGGAGGCGTGGGAAAGATAGAGATGTGAGGGATGGATGGAAATAACCATCTTTTAATAAATAAAACGTATTTATATATTTTTATATAGATAAATTTTATTCTATAAATTTAATTAAGAAATTTAATTTAATTAATTAGTATGAAAATAATTTATTTATGTAAGGGCAACTTAGTAATCAATTAATTACGATTGAAGTGAATTAATAAACAACTTATATGGACTCAACATCATCCTCAATCCGATTCTAGACAATTTTAGTAAACAACTTCAATGTGAATCTGATTCTAATTCCACCTTATTTCAATCCCTCCTCAATCTAATTCCTCCTCAATTCAATTCTTTTCAATCTAATTACGGATTAGTAAACGTGCCCATAGTAATAATCGAGGCATGTGGCTTAACATAAAGGAGTCTACGGCTCTTCAACTTATATATAAATGATTATATATGCACAGTCAATGAAAAAACCTTAATACATATGCATGATATTATATAAAGATTCCAAATCAGTCATTGCCAGAGTATTACTTCGGAAAAATCATTGTGTCTGATTGACTATTTATCACCAGATCGATTGGGATAGACTTTGGTATGAAAAGAAAAGAGATTCTTATAAAACGCGTTAATCTAAAAATAAAAGAAATAATGAAATAAGAAACAAGTGTAATATGGTGGAAGTCTGAGAAAGTAAAAAAAAATTATATTTCGTATTTGACTGGCCGCCGGTGGCGTTTATTTTCCGTTTAGTGGTCTCTTGGTAATTAAAACCGCAATAAAAAAAAGTCCACTAGAAATTTTTTTTTTTTTTTTAAAAATACCTTTTTACGCAGAGTCACATAATGTATAAGCCATGCAGCACGGGATTTGCCTAACAGGAAAATTGTCTGCAAATTGAGCACAATTTATTGGACTTTATTTGGTTGAAAGCTTGAAAGGTCATCGTTCTTAAGTTTCACAGAAAGAGTCTAACAAACCCACCCCACCCCCCAAACACAACTACTCCATTGTAGCTAGGGTTTTGGTCATCAGAGAAGACTTTTCATACTCTCATATTGTTAAGAGATAATTGATCAACTTTAACACCTCTGCATGTATATAGTCAGCCAGTCAGACTATTGGATTTGGCTTTCAGTTCATACACAATTTACCAGTAATTCAGTATATAAAGCGACGTTATCCATTTGTGCGTATGCAAGCAGCCCACGTAAGCAAATGACATTGGCAGTTTGCATGTATTTTCCCCTGATTGCGGGACACGTAAAAAAGAGAAGAGAAGACTTTACACGATTCGCCAACCTCAACACTAAGTATAGGGATGATGACTAGTTAACAACCTAATTAGGCTAGAGTATTGAATTTCATACGACACCTCAACATTTGGTAGAGAGTTTTGAGATAAGCTTCAAATATGCATAATTGAGTGCAAACTATGCATATTAATTAGATCCTAGCCGCATGTAAAGTGACTTTCTTATCACACATAGTTAACTATAATGAATAAGATTAACTGCTCTAAAGTGACAATAAACATGTTATCTAAAATAACTAATTAAATAGTTGGTGGTGCACCTCACGCATATTAAGGGCTGGTTTGGTATTATTGTGCTTTGAAAAAAAAATGTTTCTGCTGTGCTATGAGAATAAGCAGCTGTGAAATAAAGCAGCAGAGTGTTTGGTAAGTTTTTTTGTAAAAGTGCTTTTGAAAAAAAAAAAAAAAGGCAGTATTATAGTGTTTGGTAAACTTTTATGTAAAACAGATGTGAAAAAATACCGGTTTTTCAAAGCTGGGTTTTGCAGCTTCTTGTTTTTGGCTTTTTTCCACCCAAAACTGTGAAAAAAAGCTGAAGCTGAATGTTTACCAAACACAAAAACAGCTCCCATCTTTTTTTTATACCAGCTTTTTTCAGAATCACCTCTGTATCAAACTAGACCTAATTAGAACTAATCAGGTCTAAAGTAGCTTTTTACCACACATATTTCGATTATAAAGAATAAAATTAATAGTATTAATTGGTGGGTTAAATATGTCATTTTATCTTACAATATTCCTTAATTGTATTAATTTTACTAGTTTACTTCAGAGGCATTTTAAGAGTTTTTATTTACTTTTTTTTTTTTTTTAATATTAGGCGATAGTAAGAGATGGTGAAATTGAACTCAACATCTCCGGTACGAGGATGAAACTTCTCTACCAACTGATTTTTTTCCCTTTGCGTTTTAAGATATTAAAAAAAATTAATCATACATGTCCTTAATTTATAGTATGCCAGACTCTAGAAAAGTATAAGCAAGATACATGCATATGGAGCATGAAAGGCTCTTGCGATTTAGGCATCATATTTGGATTCACATGGACAATATTTTATTCGGTATTCATCGAGACATGATCATGCATCTACGTGTGAAACATTTCCACTAGAAAAGATATATCAAAATGCAAAGTTACCAATTAATTGCAGAGCCCAGATATTAGTTATAATTATGTATTTTATGGTTGAACTTCTAGTCTTTTTAAATCTAAAATTGGCATTAATTTCTCGGTACTTATCTTTTTCATTGTTCTGGATTTCTGTGCTGACTCAGACTCATCGTGGATGCTTCCTCTTTCATAGAGAGAGCAAGAAAAATGTGCAAATCTTCTTGAAGTTGAAGATTCTAGGAAAGACACACTGCAGACTAGTTCTGCAGTACTTCTTGCTATATGTAGTCACGTCATGCTTACATAGTCAATTACTACGTGGTTCTATTCCCTATAATTTATATCCTGCAATTCACTCTAACCAATCAAGAAATTTTAAAACCTAATTTTTTATTTCCTATATATTTATATATTCCCCATTACACTACTCTCCTGTTTAAGAAAATGAATTTCTTATCCAGCAAGAAACAACGACTTTATTGTCATTATTCTGAATTGTGCAACCACATCTATCAAAGTCAAAATCCATCTCACTGATCACCTTACAAAGAAAAAGTAGCAAACCAACAATATTCCCTATAAATACCAAACCCCCTAAACCCCAAAAGTTCCATTCCTTTAATGTGTTCATTTTGAACTGTTCAATCATCACCAAAGTTCCAAAAAGTCATACCCTTTTGTTCAAACATCCTCATTTTATACAATCTCTTGTGTATGAACATGAAGAGAAGCATCGCAGATGTGAGAGAACTTGATCACGGCCTAACCGTGGCCAACTGTTTGATGCTACTGTCCCGTGGCATCAACAACAACGATAATCAATATGACTCCTTCTCCGTCTCCAGCCGGGTTTTCGAGTGCAAGACCTGTAACCGCCAGTTCCCTTCGTTCCAAGCGCTCGGAGGTCATCGAGCCAGCCACAAGAAGCCCAGGTTAACCGGACCATCAGGAGATGGAAACAGCAATAGTTCTGACCAGAGCCTGTCACAGGGGTCATCACCAAAGCCCAAGACACACGAGTGCAACATATGTGGCCTAGAGTTTGCTATAGGGCAGGCGTTGGGTGGTCACATGAGGAGGCACAGGGTAGCCTTGAGCAGTAGTAATACTACTAGCAATATTCATGATCGATATTCGAGTTCGATGAGTCTGAATCCTCAGCCTGCGCAAGTATTTCAAGTTTTGAAGAAGACGAATAGCGGTAGGAGAGCTATGTGTTTGGATCTGAACTTGACGCCATTAGAGAATGACTTGGAGATTCTTCAGCTAGGGAAAGCAGCTCCACTTGTTGGGTTTTTCTAGTTATATATATAGAGAGATGATCGGTGCTTTAATTCATTTGTATGATTGTAATTAATCACGTAGGGTTTGCTGATGAGGTTTACCGCGGTTCTTCTCTTTTTGGTTCCACCGATAGGTCGATCCATCAGTGTTTGTTCATTGTAGAATTTTACACAATATGGATGCCTTTGTTTTGTTATTGGTTTTGTTTATTATTTGGGAAATGATCTCCAAACACTTTTATTTTCTCTCCATGCGCACCATTGTTTATTTTGGTTTTTATTCAATAAAATAAAGGAGATCCTTGCATGATGGCATGGGTTCAAATCTCGTTAGTGGCTAATCTAACTTCTAATCTAAAAAATCTATCGTTTGACAAAATAAAATAACGGAGAAACAAGGGATCAAAATACACTAAGTACTGCATGTTGGAAAATATTAGTATTTATGTTTATTTTAGTATTTGGCCGGTTTTCCATGTTAGTTTAGGAATTGGGTCTAGCCCATCCGAGTTAGGGTTTCTTAGGTTTAGTTCTCTATAAATATTGCTTGTCATTTGGTTTGAGAAATAAGTGAGTCACGATGTAGCCTCTTGAGGGTTTGTAGCCGTTTCGGCATTCTTATTTATTTAATAGTATTCTTCTTATTTTGTAGGCTTGTTCGTCTTGCACTTTGATATTCAACTTGGTATCAGTTGATGGGTGTCAATTTGTTTGTATCAGTTTTGTTTCCGTCATCTTCCGCTGTTTGTGTTTCCGTTTTAGATTCGTCTAGAAAATTGTCGTTGTTCATGGTGGTAAAAATCTGTTTGCTTGTTTGTCGTGCAAAGCATCCATAGTCGAATCCGTTCTTGTCGCCACCACCACCATCTGCACGAACCATCTGCTGCAATGCCTTTATTTTGCTCAACTTGGTTGACTTGGTTGCTGCATGAATTGAAGAAAGCAGGAGTAAAGAAGGAAGAGAGGAAAAAAAAAAAAAAGAAAGGAAAAAAGAGGGAAAATAAAGGAAAAGGAAAAAGTTTTTGAAAAAAAAAAATTGGTTAGGTTTTGAGGCCCACACGAGCAAGGAGAAAAGATTGGCTTTTTTGAAGTCTCTGAGGCACACACAGAGGCTGTTGGTTTATTTGAATGATTCGGAGTCTGTTGTTGTCCTCCGTGACGATTGCTTGAGTGTTTGGATTGGTGACTACTCGAGTGACGTTGTGAAATTTGGATTTTTTTCCTTGTTTGTTCAGGTTTGTTCAAAAGCTTGCTATTGGCATGAAAATTTTACACTGGCACTGACATTGGAATCTTGCACTTGCACTGATGGAATTTCCTATTGAAATTGGCATAAGAAATTAGCATAACAAGCTTGCATCCACATCGTCTGTTGGCAAACTCATGTCGTGTACCACCATGAATTTGATCCCAGGGGGAGGGGGTGTTGTTGGAAAATATTAGTATTTATGTTTATTTTAGTATTTGCATTTTCCTTGTTAGTTTAGGAATTGGGTCTAGCTCATCCGATTTAGGGTTTCTTAGGTTTAGTTCTCTATAAATATTGATTGTCATTTAGTTTGAGAAATAAGTGAGTCACGATGTAGCCTCTTGGGGGTTTGTAGCCGGTTCAGCATTCTTATTTATTTAATAGTATTCTTCTTATTTTATAAGCTTGTTCGTCACGCACTCTGATATTCAACTAGTACATGATCCTTTCCCTATTTACGAAATTTATGAGTTTGTGGATAAACAAGACAAAAGAAGAAAAGTATTGAGTAGGACGGTCATGATCAGTTGATCAAAGCATGTAATTAATTTCCTCACATAATTAGATCGATTACCAGAATTACTTGGTCTGATCTCTTGAACATATTGATCAATAAGTAATTTCTGATGGCAATGAAACTAATCAACGTAGTTAATCAAATAAAATTTGTTAATTAGTTCAATATTGTACATAAACATGTCAACTGATTTGAAAAGCTGCTGATTCAAAGCGAGTCAACATCTTGTATTTAATATTGGTTGAGAATCTTTCTTCAAATAATCACTCTATATGTATATATGTAATGTTAGGGAAATCAAATTTTTTTAAAATCAAATAATGTGGTTGTAGATGATTGAATTATTAATTAAGTGTTGATTAATGTGCATATTTCTTATTGGTGACACATCATTTGGTTTGCAATTTGGTTTAAAAAATTTGATCTCCCTAACATTATCCACTATATATAGTTGCAAAATACAATCATATATGATTATTGTAAAAACTTTCTCATGTCTAAAGCAGCAGCCACTTTTTCTATCTACATCTCAAATAATCAGTACTCATAATTTAAGTGATTAAGAGCATTTACTCTTACATTTGCATTGAATCCACCTCCCCATTTTAACTAGTAGTAGCTTTACCACTTCAACAACAAGAAAATAAATTCTGAACCGAAGTCGCTTCTTAAGTGGGAGGATTAAGTTTCAAAAAAGTCAAAACCATGATGCCGTTTCAAGACGTATATTAATGAAAATCTTATCATAGGGTTGCTTTCGTGCAAGTCTTTCCAAAAAGCTTCTGGAATTTAGAAATTGTATTAGGTGCGTTTTGTTGAACATGTATATAGGATTTTAGATATATGAGTAAATACTCTTAATTATTTAAGTTACAAATCCAATGTGAATAGTGAATAGGAATCTAATGCATGCATCATGAATTTGTCTATAAAATAGTGTTATTACAATGTATGGATGCATGAAAGTTCCCAAATAAAGAAGCAGTAACAAAATCAAGAAGGTTAAAACGAGTAGTTGATGAATCCCACCACCACCCTCCCAAAATCAAGAAGGGGAAAACGAGTAGTTGATGAATCCCACCACCACCCTCCCTCCCCACCAAAAAAGAAAAAAGAAAAACGAGTAGCACTTATTAATGTGATGACTCCCCTTCCCTTGGTAAATAAATACCATGGGCACAATAGTCTATAGATTCTTTGATAATTAAGCTGAACTTACTTGGCTAATAAGATAGTATGAACGATACTTAATTGCCCTTGACTTTGCCCAAAAATTAAATTGTGTGTCTCGTCCATCATCACTAACCTCATTTTCGATCTCCCATCACTGTCATCATTTTTTTATTATATAGTCCCAATTTATGGTCACATAAAGTATGGACTCCAAGGGTAGATGAAGGTTGATTTTGGTTATTCCTGTTTTGTGGGTCTTACAAATATGAATACTTAGAAATCAATTATGTGACAATTAATTTTCGGACTCATTTTATAATTATTTTTTTTTAATTTTAAGTCCATTTTTTGTGTTTGAAATATGAAAAAAGTATATGAGTGAAGGGATAAAAAAAAAAGGGTGATAGGAAGAACGAAAAAAGAATGTGAAGGATAAAAACAAAATCTTGAAAGTGAAAACGATTTACAATAGACTTTTGTTTTTGGTTTTCATTTTGTATGCGTTTCTCTATACACTTCTACATCTCTACTACCATCCTTCCTCTATTCTTCTATATCCCTCGTGTATTTCTCCTATATCTACACTATAGGTTGGCCCAACTCAATCCTCTCGTACTAGGGTTGGCTCCTCATAGTTCTCCCTTCAATAAGAGTAAATATAGGAATAGAACTATCTCCCGATGTTCTAAACCCAACTCATGTACTACTCAAATCAGAACGAAACACAAAAATAAAATGGTCATTGAATGACCCCTTAACATTTACCCAATATTGGTGTTATGTTTTAACAAGGTTTCCCACTCAGGTAAAAAATTATTTTCTAGGATGGTGATGACGTTGGTAGCTCAATAGTTGGTGCAATTGGAAACAATTTTGGTTCAACTTTTCCAAACAAAAGAAATCGTGTCAAACGTTTTTGCAAGACTCCTACTGAAACATTACTAAGACCTGCACAGTAAGATTGGATCAGGCTGAAGTTCCTTAGTTGGCTTGAACTTTATCTAATTTGGGCAGCAATTGCCAACCGTGTCAAACATTTGAATCACACGTTCAAGCAAATGTAATCAACTTAATAGAGTGTTAGATTCGCTAAGTACATAAATAATTAAATATCTTAATATTACCTAACAAGAGTAATTGTCCGTATAGATTTACAAACATATAAAAAAAGGGATGTGATATCTACACATCTTATTTTACTTCTCACACACCTTTTTAATTTTTGACCGTCGGATCGGATGAATTGAAAAAGATCAATGGACATAAATTATCAAGGGGTGTGTGAGAAATAAAATGAGGTGTGTGGATAACACACCCCTAAAAAAATACTCTGTGCGCGCGCTACATGTGGCCATATATAACTTTATTTACACAAGAATTCTAATAATAATCTGACCAAAAACAATATGCGAAGCACATGTTAATCGAGTAAGTGATGACATGCGGAAAATGTAGTGAAAAGATTTGTTAGCAACTCACTACTAGCTAGGCACACCAATACTGACATAACTTAATCAACTGTACAGTTCGAGAATTTAGATTTTATCAAAAAGACCTCAATACAATAAGAAGTGAAACTTTTCAATAAAAGTTGGGGGAAGTTTTTAAAATATCATATAAATTTAAACACTTTTACCAATTTGTCATATGCACTAAAAGTTTAAGCGATTTGTCATATCAACTTTCTAAAATCATTAATTTATCATATACCCTTAACTCCGTTAGGTTTTTCATCCAAAATAGGTCGGTAGGCAGCTAAGTCAATAGTAGCTCAATTCAAGTCAAGGCATGAAGCTCCAAGTTCTGTTACTAGTTCTAATTTGATACGAGTTTATATTTTTTAGGAATTAGTTGGATATATGACATGATATAATTTTGATTCAGTTTCTTTCCAGTATAATCCTCAAAACATATATCACATGTTCTTCAACCCATGGTAGGCCAAGTCTAGAAGTAATTGGTAATTGAATTTATAGCCTTGTAGTCGCCATGGTGACCTCCCCTAATAGTGAATCCTCAATTCCATTGCATTATTAGTTTCTACATCGTTTTCCATACCAAATTTCCATTTTAATTTGAACGGAGTGCACTTCAAAGTCTGCATGTTCATTAATTATTTTGTATGCAACTAGTTTGAATAATGGAGAGGAAGAGAGGGATATATAACAAATTACTTAATAAATTAAGGTATAAAAAGATCTCAAAAGCCATATTCATATATTTACGAGACAAGGTCGTAGCTCTTAGTAGTGTGGAAATTGAACTGGGTTAGTACTGACTTAAGATACCGAAATACTAGACTGACTGGCGCCTAATATTGTAACATATATTGCATGTCTCTTTGTCATGCTCAAAAGTTGGAATTATAATTTATAGAGGTTGGACTAATAGGGAGTGAGCTCATGAGAAACATGGCTTTTATTTCATCCGGAAGTTGCAACAATAAAGACAAAATTTCACTTGCATTTTATAATTTATCCTGGCTCTAAGAATTCCAGCTCTCGGTGATGATATCACATTTTTCTTAATTTATTTTCTTTACTAGCAAAGAAGGCATAAAAGAAAGAGAGAAAAGTGATCTTAATGTCGTGTCTTAAATTGTTATAATACACGAGAATGGAGATTCAAATTTGAATGTAAGCAATGACGGAGCCACTTTGAGCCTAGAGGGGGCAGATGCCCTTACTCAATTTTTTTGGCAGGAGAAAAATGTACATGCGTGTGATATTAGTATTAACTTTTCCAGTTGTTAATGCCAACTTTGGAAGAGCATTTCCAGTCATGAAATTTCTAAAGAATTTATTGAAAAATTGGATGGGAGACCAATGAATAAATGATAACATGGATTTTTTTCTAGACAAGTATTTGATGATATTGGTAATGAAGTGTCATGCAACGCTTTCAAAACATGAAATCGCATAGAGGGATAGTATAATATGTTGTATGAAAAATCTTATGGATAAGTATTTTGTTTAGTAAATTATTTATCTTCTAATTTGTGACTCTTTTATTTAAGGATACCCCGATCTATACGGATCTTTCTGGCTTCATTCAGAATCTCTTAATGTAAGAGGGTCGATACTACTTTATCAATTAACGTAACCCACGTCTATAGCTATATCCTTGAGCATAAATGATTAAAACTAAATTTAAAAACTTGATCAAAATATGAAGTTTTTATCGTCACTGTCCCAATCAGCATGCAGTAATATTAATGTCATTGCTATCGTCTTTGCCAAATGTCAACGTTTATATAAACGGTTAGGTTTACATGGTTGCCTAATTATATACCTTGTTGTACAAACATAAACATTAATTAGGTCAAATTATCCACTAATTAGGGGCCAATCCAATGGTTAAGTTAATATAATATAGACAACATGTGGTATAGAAAGCAGAAAGATAATTTGCTGTGTGCTTTCCACACGACTTTGTATATTTATTATCAGAAAGTCACTACTTTACCGTAAACATGTACAAGGTTTTGGATAATACTAATCTATGCTCTAGTTGTTAGCCAAAAGGCTAAGAATACAAGTTTCCAAAAAAAAAAAAGGCTAAGAAAAATACATCTCTGGTCCGGCTATAAATTTAGCATTTATTTATTACCGACTTTAACTTATATTTAAAAGAGATTTTTAAATGTGACTGATTATATATGTATGTGGTTCATTATTCTATTAAATGAGATGTCGGGTTTCCATCAATGCGTTCTGAATTCGAAACTCCCCTCTCCTAAATTATTATAGTAATTTCGAACCCTCTCTCACTTCTTAATAATGATAAAAAAAAAAAAAAAAATATTACTGATTGTATAGGCCTAATAAGAGCTTGGACGGAGGAATTGCATGAATGACATGGCTGGCCTAAACTAAGGGCTCCCTCTCTTGATGGCGAGAATTTTGATTAACCGACACTAGTAGTCGATTCGAAGAAAAAACAAGCATGATATGAGATTTGCGGTAGAAAATTCCGATAATAAATTACTTGAGAATAAATTGCGTGATGAGAAATACTCTTGTGTGTGTACAACAGATGATAAAACAGATTCTTTCTCCTTTAAGAATTAATGAACAAGCAACCAGTTCAAACTCCATTGAGTGTGAATAATGCTATTGGGTAGCTGAGAAATTGGTGCAACTCTAATACTTGTGTTTTGGTTTGACTCTGACTTAGAATAACAAGAATGCAATGAATAAGAAGAACGCATATTGTTTACCAAAAAAAAATAAGAAGAAAAAGAACCCATAATATTACACGTTCTTGGACGGATTTTAGCTTTATTGTCAAAATCTCATGCTCTCTAAGTTGACTTCCCCCATTTGCCCATCCCCATTGTTAGAACTGATCTAGTTGGATTTGAATTGCTTGTCTGAAAATGAAGGTGATTTCTGTATATTTATTTTCTCCTCTGAACGCATGTGTTTATTTTTAATCTTAAATAATAAATGAAAGAAAAATCATGAGAATACACATACAAAGAAAATTGAAGTGCGAAATCATTCTTTGTCCGAAATTGGATCTAAAAAAGAAAATTAATGTTATGTATTACGCACTTATGTTGTCACATCAAGCAAGTGCTAACGTTAAGAGTTGGCCAACACAATCATAATATGCTTGGGTCAAATTACCTTAAAAACGATGACCAACAAAAACTTGAAACTAGTGTGGGATCCTCGATGATCTGCTGCTAAGATAACAGATTTTGTATGTTCAAACTTCCATGCAGTGATTTACGACCGGTCTTATCTTACTCCTGACCCCACAACACCAACGGTTCCACCATCCAGCCGCCTTACCCGGCCCGTGGAAGAGAAGTTGCTAAGGCTCCAGGGTCAAGAAAACTTTGACAAGTGTTTTTAAATGACTGAAAGCATTTTTAGATAAAATGTTTTTAGAATCAAATCTTAGTGAGAATGCAAGTTAATTTTGGAAAAGCACTTGACGTGCTTTCTATTAAAAGTATCAATCCTAAAAGTGCTTTCATTCATTTAAAATAACTTGCCAAACGAGTCCTAAAACTCTCAGAACCCATTGGATTTCTAGAATATATGATCAGCGTTCGGAAACTTAAAAACAGGAAAATGGCTATGTCAAGGATGTCCTGATTCCTCACGGTTGAACAAGCAGCAGATAACCTTCCAGTTAAAATGCAGGAAAAGTTACAACGCATACGTCCACAGAAAGATTCACATTTCAGTCAGATTACTAAAGCGAAAGTTCCCAAGCTACACAATTGAATTCATATACTAAAACAAATTAATACAAAATTTAATGAAATTTGATGTGCTTTCAAACAAATCTGTCCTGTTTTCCTTTCTTTTCGGCATCAGTGGTTTCAGTTTTGATTTCGATTTCGGTTTCGGTATCGGTTTCGCTGAGAGTGCCAAACTTTTGCTTGAAGGATTCCTGTCTCTGCACCCACATCATGTGCCCCTGAAAACTCACAAAAGTTTTCCACCTTTATTACCACATCCAATGCATAACTAAGAATATATATAAATATGTATATAAAGATAAAAACACCAAATGTACAGTCTCTGTATGTGCGGGTGAAGAAGGAGAAATTAATATACCTGGAGAGAAGCAGCCTCAGGGCCGGTCCTGAGATTTCAGGACCCTGTGCAAAAGTGAATTGGAGGTTAAGAAGTGCCAAGAATTTAATTTAATTTTTTTTATTTTTTTGTCCAAAAAAATAAATTTATTTTTCAATTGAGCTTCTATAAATTCTAATAGCACAAACAAATTTAACAAATCAACAAGTGGAAATGTGACGTATTGTTTTACCTCAACTATTTAGAAGGTCAGGATTCGAATTTTCATGTTATTGTGTGAAATTTTTATATTATTTTATGAAAGCTTATGCATTTAATAAAAATAAACTAAAAAAACGATGGAGACGAGGTTCAAACCCATCCCCTAGGCCAACGTAAAGAAGCAACAATACCACTTGTGCTAAGGCTCAAGTTTGCAATATTCTACACATACTAATATATATACATATATGCATACAAATTTGAAAAATCGGGAGCCCTTCCGATTTGGGGGCCCATGCGGTCCCCTCAGCGCCGGTTCTGAGCCGCCCAAGCAATAAGGAAAGATGGGACCCAGAATTTCTTGTCGTTGAGGAGCTTCGTGGCTTCGATTTCCCAAAACCCTAACCCCCAATTGCAGATACCAATTAGGGTCTGATTCAGAAAGTGAAAACCTTGAGGAGGGTGGTGAGAGAGATGATAAATTTGAGCCTATTGGGTCTGAATCAAATATGGGTCTCTCAGTATTCTGTGGGCTCCAGGCCCAAAAGACTTCCACTTGAAACTTCAAGTCACCTGAGGAGCAAGCTGAAGCTGTTCCTCCAACTTCTACCAGTTTTCTTACCATGATCGTGAAACATGGAGTTCGAACCAGACCATACCATGCACTCGCACCAGCGGCTTCCGAAATTCCTTCCTTGCCATCGACCCGGCAGCACCACAGCCTCCTTTCTCAATGCAAAAGCTTGAAGTCTCTGCGGCAAATCCACGCCCAACTGATAGTCTCAGGCTTCCAGCAAGACCATTCGACACTGACCCATCTCATAAATTCCTACTCTTTGTTCAAAAAATGCGGTTCTGCGCTCTCAGTTTTTTGTTCTGCGCAAAACCCAAGTGTGATTTTGTGGAACTCCATGATTCGAGCTTATACGAGAGCAAACCAGTACAGGGAAGCTCGAAAAATGTACAATTCGATGGTGGAACAAGGCGTAGAGCCGGATAAGTATACCTTCAACTTTGTTTTGAAAGCTTGTACTTCTGCTTTGGATTTCGAAGATGGTGTCTTGGTGCACCGTGAAGTTGCTCGGAAGCGGCTGGACTCTGATGTGTTTATAGGGACCAGTCTCATTGACATGTACTGTAAAATGGGTGACTTAGAGAATGCGCGAGAGGTGTTTAATAGATTGCCTAAGAGAGATGTTGTAGCTTGTAATGCTTTGATTGCGGGTTTATCGCAAAGTGAGGATCCGTGTGAGGCATTGGGGTTTTTCCGGAAGATGCAAACATGGGGGCTGAGGCCGAACTTGGTGAGCTTGGTCAATTTGGTTCCAGCAGTGTCTCGGTTGGCAGATATTGATACTTGTAGGTGTATTCATGGTTATCTGTTGAGGAGGGATTTTAGTTCGGTGGTTTCTAATGGTTTGATTGATATGTACTCCAAGTGTGGAGATGTAGATGCTGCTCACCGGGTTTTTGACATGATGCAGGACCGGGATGATGTTTCGTGGGGAACGATGATGGCAGGGTATGCGAGTAATGGATGTTTTGTTGAGGTTTTGGAGTTATTTGATTGGATTAAAGGAGAGAATACTCCGATGAATAAGGTTTCAATCATAAGTGCTCTTTTGGCTGCTACTGAGATGAGAGATTTAGAGAAAGGGAAGGTGATCCATTTTTGTGCCTCACAACAAGAACTCAATGCTGATGTTTTGGTTGCTACTTCTATAATGACCATGTATGCAAAATGCGGAGAGATAGAGAAGGCTAAACAAATTTTTGAGGGACTAGGGAAAAGAGATTTAGTTTCTTGGGCTGCACTTTTATCTGCTTGTGTCCAATCTGGTTATCCTGAAGCAGCATTGTCTCTCTTTCGAGATGAGCAGAATGAAATTTTGAAACCAGGTGGAATAACGCTGATAAGCGTCCTCTTGGCATGTGCAGAATTATCGTATCTGAAGTTAGGTATGAGCATACATTGCTATGCTCTCAAGGCAAACATTGCTTCCGATATTTCTTTTGGAACAGCCCTAGTCTCCATGTATGCCAAATGTGGAAATTTTACGTCTGCATTAACTCTATTCAATAGAATGCCATGCAAAGATGTTGTGACATGGAATGCTTTGATAAATGCATACACCCAAATTGGTGACGCCTGCCATGCTATAGATATGTTTCGTGAATTATGGTTGTCTGGAATAATGCCTGATGCAGGAACCCTGGTGGGCATTATCTCCGCTTGTAGCATACTGAGTGACCTAGATCAAGGTACCTGTATTCATGGACAAATTATAAAGAATGGGTGTGAGCATGATGTTGCTGTCAAAAATGCTCTTATTAGCATGTATTGCAACATATGCTCAGCTGAACTTCTGTTTAACAGAACCATATTTATGAAGGATGTGGTATCATGGAATGCAATGATGTCCGGATACGTGCAGGCTGGATATGCCAGGGAAGCTATATCTGCTTTTCACCAGATGAAATTGGAGAACGTTCGGCCTAATTTAGTCACATTTGTTTGTATCCTTCCTGCAGTGGCATATCTGGCAGCCCCAAGAGAGGGAATGGTTTTTCATTCTTGCATTATCCAAATGGGGTTTCTGTCCAACACACTTGTGGGAAATAGTCTTATCGATATGTATGCTAAATGCGGACAGCTCAATTATTCAGAGAAATGCTTTAATGAGATGGAGCACAAGGACAAAGTTTCATGGAATGCAATGCTTGCAGCATATGCAGTGCACGGGCAAGGAGTTGATGCAGTTGCACTTTTCTCACTGATGCAAGAGAGTTCTGTCCAAGTTGATTCTGTGTCATTCATCAGTGTTCTGTCCGCTTGCAGACATGCCGGTCTGGTACAAGAAGGAAGGAGTATTTTCCAGGTCATGCATGAAAAGCATCGTCTTGAACCAGAGTTGGAACATTATGCGTGCATGGTAGATCTTTTAGGTCGTGCTGGTTTATTCGATGAAGCTTTAAACTTAATTAATAAAATGCCAATGGAGCCGGATGCTGGAGTCTGGGGAGCGTTATTAGGTGCGTGTAGGGTGCATTCTAATGTGGAGTTAGGAGAAATTGCATTGAGTCATCTTGTTAAGCTTGAGCCTAGAAATGCAGCAAATTACATAGTTTTATCTGATATACATGCTCATTCTGCTAGATGGGGTGATTCTGGCAAGACAAGATCAATGATGAGTGACTCGGGGTTAAAGAGAACACCGGGATGTAGTTGGGTAGAGGTTGAAAACAGGGTCCAGTCTTTTCTGGTGAGTGACTACAACTACCAGCCCCAACTTGAGAGCTGAGAACATGCAGTCTCTGTGAAATAACTTACTTCAAAAGATGGAGAACTTAGACTGATTGGAAGAACTCTCTGTGCTGATGTGCATTGCCATGCTGCAGATTGCGAAGATGAGAAACCGGATAAAAGCTGTCAGTGATGCTATTTGTTTCCGTAATTTTGTGCTGGTATCTGCTCGTGCAAAGATCGCCGGTGAACTGGATGAGAGGTGCACAACTCCCATCATACAAAAGTAAGCAATCACATCTTCAACGAACGATAATTTGTTATCGAAGCTGTGAAGTTGGCTCACTGTCCCCTGCAGTGAATGCTTCAGACTGTATGGAAACAACCAGATTAATCAACTCCAGTAGTCGCCTTTGACAAACACACGAGTGTAAGAAAGAAGGGAATAAAAGAGTATTCAAAACCAAAAGAAAAAGTACTCAATATTTAATGAAATATGTGGTTTTGACATAAAATAGAGGTGTTTGAGGGGACTGTAGCGCTTGTAATAATAAAGAGGCCTTTTGCATGTGCAGGAGAGCGCGGAGAGGCTAATTTAAATTAAAGGAAAAAGAGAATGTTGTTGAAACTAAGTTTGAAATATAAAAATACAGCATATTGGATGAGGATTAATTAAAGAAAAAAAGAGAATGTTGTTAAAACTAAGTTTGAAATATAAAAAAACAACGTATTGGATGAGGATTATTTTTAAGGAAAACTAATAAAAAGGGTTTGAAAACTTTGAGTTTTAACGATAAGAACAAAATAAAGGGTAAAGTGAATAATACCAGGATTAACTTTTTAATGTAAAAATGTAGTTTTTTTGTTAAAGTTAACAGTACCGTGGACTTTTCGTTACAATAAAAAGAACAGTAATTCCGGTGCCAGGAGTCGAACCTGGAAACTCTAAACCATGAGAATGTAGTGAGCTACACCGGACGATTGTGTTACACTGTAAGAAAAATATCATCTTTGGTTTTCTCAGGTGGCCGGGATGTGCGCTCCTGTGAAAAATATAACTTTTACCTATGAATATATAATTAAACTTTGCAGATGTATTTCCATCCAAGGGTCCATAGCTCAGTGGTAGAGCATTTGACTGCAGATCAAGAGGTCACCGGTTCGAACCCGGTTGGGCCCTTATTTTTATGATTTATTTTAATTTTATTTTTTAAGCTTTTTCCTAATAAATTTACCATAACAACGTTTTTTGTACTTCCTGTAATCCTGATTCCCACTAAATCAACATTCCATTTTCACTTTGAGTTTTCCCCCTCTTTCTTTTAACACGTTTTTCCGATTTTTAAAATTATCAAGCATAAATTTCAAAAGAAAACTAAAATTTCATTAAAATGTCACGAGTCCAAGCGATTGTTAAGTTTAGCAACGATATTGTTATTCCAATCAGAAATCCGGTACTGCAAAAACCAGGACATTCTTGAATTCCTCAGAAGACATAATTTCACTGGTTAGTCATAAAGAAAACCAAAAATCAAACTTTTTAGTTTATTACAGTAAGTAAAACATAATCAAGTACCTGATACAAGATCCAATAAATGAAAAACAAAATGGAGAATCAGTTTGCCACTCAGATGGAATTGCCTTTCCTGACCCCATTCCTATACCCTTCTTCAACCGCCGTCCAGACGAGATGACACCACGTGCGCAACTCCACACAGCTGCAGATAACAGTTTATGTGTATCGACGTTCATGACAATTTGGGACTGGACAGGAGATCCGAAATCTGGAGCATTCCATTGCAAGGGAATTTGCAAGCTACCATCTAAAGAGATGTCAGATTTGCCTAAGCTTCAAATAGGCGCCCATCGGCAGGCATCACATGCACATTTCATCCGCATAACAAGCATGTCCAACAAGCTGCGTTTTAAAAGATTTTGTAGGTATAAAGTGACCAAACTCCCTTTTTACGGGGAATGAAATACTTTACACCGCCAGAAGAAAGCCTCGGAGTTCTGCACTTCACTTCTGATAGTTTGTGTGTAATGATCCAAAGTCTGTGTGCGCTCATCTATGCTATCACTGGATATTGTATCTTCAGTTAGTTTGACTGCTGCCATATGAGACAGTTGAAGGTTTTCCGCAGCCCTCTGCAGCTTCCTTGCGGTTTCAACCTCGCCAAGCATCACAAGCGAAAGTAACAAAGATTTTAGCTCTTGCAAAGCTCCAGTTGTTAGAGACATTCCCTTCAAGTGGTCAGCCAGAGCCAGTTCCTCGCCAGGACTAAAATGTCAAGTAGTTAATTTATTAGCAATTGTTAGTGACCAGGAAGAGTAACAAGATTGGAAAATGATCTCTTAATCTTTATAATAACAAACATACCTTCCGGGACGGATTTTCCCTCTTTTTCTCTGGCGCCTGGCGTCTCTTGCCTTGCTAGCTGCACTTGATCGGGCAGATGTACCAGAGCTGTCCCTGGTCCTGTACATGAGATTAGGAAACCAATTAAAGTCTGATAGTACAAACTACAGGCATTGAACTCAATGTGAGAACCATCCTCCACAATACGATCTTTGAAGATATGGCTCAAATATAAACTGAAATGCAACATTCCAAAGAAGTAAATGGAAGGTGAAAAGTGAGGGGAAACAGCAGCTGTAACCATCCTCAACAAGACGATATTGGCTAAAACAATATATTGCATATGTGCGAGAACGAAACTAAGCTATCGACTGAGGTATAAGTTAATAAAAAGTACAGGGAAAGGGTGCCCCGCCATCTGGGTCCGGGCACAGAAGTGATAATCAACATATTATGACCCTCTGATGGAGAACATTAGCTACACAACTATACAAAAAATAATAATAATAATAATAAAATAAAAAAACAAGATGCAAAACAAGCCAAAAAGGCAGAGCTATATGACAATAAGATGTAAAATACACACCCTGTGGTGTAAGCACTCATTCCACTGAAATTACTGCTAGCTTCTGAAGCAGTATCATCATCAAGATCGTTCATTGACCGTTCCTCTGACTGAATTTTTGCCGCCAGAAGTAACCTTCTTTGTCTTAAAGCCAAGTAGCGAGCCAAGTACTTCCCTACTTTCTCCAAACCTTCCTCGTATTCACCAACAAGCAAGCTTGCACATTCCAAGGATGCATTCTTCACATCAGAGACCAAATCCTGTCTATTGTGCATAAAAGCGACTCTCAAGGCTTCCTCCCAGTCCCTTGCACTAATCAACAAATTCGTCCCATTGTTAACATCACCACAATACTCCAGAGCAATTTTGGCTGCTTCCCTTGGTTTACCAAGTGCTTGAAGTTCTTCACAAAGCTCATGCGCCATTTGCATAATCTCATCTTTACCCAGTTTTAGAAGCCCAGCAACTGTAAGCACCTTACTCCAATTACCACAAGCACGGTATGACTTCAAAGCCTTTTCCAAACTGGAACAGCACAAATAAGTGGCAGCAGCATCGTCGAAGCATTTTTCACCACTAAGATAGTCTCCCCAGGCCTCAAGGACTTGCTTCTTCTTGGCAGGATCAGCAATCAATTGAAGTCCCAAGGGGAAAAGATGAGGATTTTTCTTCATCAGGATCAGAGAATCTGCATAACAAGTGTCTCCTGCAGAAACAATGTGCTTGAGAGCTTTCTCAAACCTGTGCAGCCTAAGGTCAATGTTATAACGCATCAAAGTAACTGGCATAGATTCCAATTCTTGAAGAAAAGGAAGGAATTCTTTAGGGTCCCGCTGAGAGTTCAATGCCACCATAGCTGCAAGGTTCAAATCGTAAAGGCCTAAAGCAGCTTCATAAACAGACTCAGAATCAGATAACCACAGGAGATGCTTCAAAGCCTCTTCAGCAGAGGGATACGACATTCTCCTTTGGTCGTTGGAACCTGACAATTCCATTTCACGGATAATTTTTATTCTCTCCAAAGCCTCATCAAGTGCAGGGGGGTCACTACGAGCTAGAGTGGTTAAAATGCAAAGTTCCCTTGCAGGAACTTCCTGCGAATGTTCCTCAAGAGCTCTCCTTATGGCCAGAAGCACAGAAGATATCTTGTTATTAGAATCAAAACCCTTGGAGTCATCTTTAGCTTCTTTCGGGAAGGGTAGAGAAATAAATTTTTTATACAGTGTCTCTGTAGTGTTTTCGTTGTTTATGGCACAAACAAACTCAGTTATGTAGTTCAAATTATTAACCTGCTTGACAAATTCTGAAGCTGATTGGAGAAACACTTGCCAACTGCAATAGTCAACGATGATATTGAAATCTATCCTATGCCGCCTCACCATGAGAAGTGCATCTCTGAAACGCCTCTGTACCAATGCATTGCAAATAGAGGCCAGGACCAATTTTCTTGGATAAATGGATTCTAGGTTCCCCCGAGTTGTTTGCAAAATAACAGCAGCTTCATCTCCATGCAGAACTCCAACAACTTTTGCACCTCTTTCCCATATGTTTATGAAGTCTCCATGATCTTCTCGTTTCTTGTTACCAGCTTGGATGGGTTTCTCGAATTTTATTTCCACCTCTCTATGCAATATATCTGTGATGTCAGCAATAAAAAGACAATCCTGCTTAGTTGCCAAAACTAAATGCGTGATCACTTGGTCATCCAAATTTGAGTACAAAGAGAAACTGTTGCAGTTGTTGCATATTATCTTCCCATTGACGTGCAGCCTACAGCTCTCATCAAGGCCAAAAATTAAAGGTTCCAATGGCCCACTGTTTCCAACTAGAACCACACTCATAGAAGGGCAAGTTGATGAGAAACTCCAATCCTGTTTTGGAACTCCTCTAGGAATGCCGAACTTTGGGACATACTCGCAAACCTTTCCACCATCAAATTGGATAAATGCTGAACCTTTTCTAGCAGGATTAGGAGCAATTGATATAATCATCTCTTCCAGAGAGCTTTGGCTGGAAACTTTTGCATGCCAGCCTGAGCATGTCACTGTACCAGGGGCATGATTCTCAGAACATACAAGCTCAATTTCCTGCAAATAAAAACCGGCACCATCCGCACTTGATGTAGTTCGAGATAAATAATTACTATGACTGAACCCATAGTGAGAAACAGCAAGAATTTTATGTGGGTCCAACCATGTCATATGCAAAAAAGAACCAAATGGTGATTCAGAAATGGATGCTTCAACAGAAAACTCTTTGCCTTCTAATTCTTCCCAAGTATCAGTGGCAGGAAGCTCAACGACACATAAAGAACCATCTGATAGAAAAGCAGCCACACAGTTCTTAGAATTCTTGGAATAGAAAGCGAAGTCTCGGACAGCACTGGGGAATTTAAGGCTGAATAAGTACATGGGAGGTGGCATTAGATATAAAGAAAAAGGGGTTACAAGTATCTTGGAGTCATCAATTACTAGCGCAGTTGAGACATCCATCACAGCTGAATTCCACATGAAGTCATACGATGTAACCTGGCCACCAAGAGTCCAACATAATAACTGCAGTGACTTTGTTGGATTCCAGACAAACCTCACACCATCCTGTCTTGGGTATCTAACTTCAGATTTTAAGTACCAGTGGTTGTTACTGAAATACCAAACCTTGACAGAGTTATAGTTTTCACATCTGACAACAGCAGCAAGAAGATCTGAACTGCAATTCCATTTGAGAAATTCTATGGTTGCTTTTGTTTGCTCATTGATGCTAAACAAGTTTCTTTCTAACCCATTTCTCTCAAAGAAAACTATTGAGGGGCACTCATTTTCTGATTTCCTATCATAAACAGCTGCAATTTTTGCTCCACTGGGCATCCAGTCCACAACTGATCCCATGAACGACTTTGATTCAGAAACAGCATGTACTGCTCCCGAATGTCGCTCCCAAATTTTAAGCCTCTTAAGCAAGGATGTCGAATCCTGCACCTCACCTAGTGTGACAAAGTACTTCCCATCACCTCGCCAGGAAATAGGGCTTTCAAATGTGAACTTAGAAGATAATTGCTGTTCACCTGAAACCATAGTTTTTACCGAAGTCGCTTAATTTTCCAAATTAACAAAACCCATGTCATACACAAATGATAAGAGGACACCAACAGAAACCGCAGAATTCCTCCAAGTAAGGAGGTCATGAGGCTAAATATAAAATGACCAATAAATTACAAGTTAGTGCTAACTCTGATTCATATGATTATCTTTTACCAGACAATGCTATTTCTCAAACAACTAGCAAACCCTAGGCACTAAAGAAAAACTGCAATTCTGAAAATCAACAAATAATGGAGAGAGGTCCTTACATATGTGGTTGCCATCTTCCGGTAGATCCTCCAGCGCAGTCTCGTACAATAAATCCCAATCCTGAGTCATAACCAGCACCTGCCCAGACCCAGTGGTTATGGCAAGAAGGTCACCATCCGGACTAGGCGCGATGCACTTAACACCACCATCCACTCCGCCAACAACTTGAGAGGCATTATCATCCACAGAATGCAGCAGCAGAAGCCCATTGCCAGTTCCCACCAAGAGCGCCTCTTTCTCCATGAGGTAACTAAATGAAGTGATGAAGTCCTCGGGATCCAATTCGATTTGATTAACTTGCGCCGATTTTGAGGTTTTGCTCCACGCCCTTTCATTCTACACCACATGAATCATCAAATTAGGTTCCAATTCGAACGGGGAAATCCAACAAGCATGTATACAAACATATATAAAGGTATATATATACCTGGATGGAGGAGAGGTGAGTGGCGTAGATGTTATTGGCAGAGGAAGCGAAGAACAAGCGATTCTGCTCAATGTCAAATGCAGAGAAGAGTATGAGCTCCTCTTCGGATTGTAAGTGGAGATTCAGAGAGACCTCCGAGTAGAGCTTCAGATTATTCATTTTTTCCGGAATCTATGGAACTCCTCAGAGAGAGAGAGAGAGAGAGAGAGGGAGTTGTGCCCTAGCTAGTTACCAGCTATGGTTGCAGCGAGGGTTTTCAGGGTTTAAGAAGTAAACATCCCTCGAAGAGAAGACGAGGACGATTATAAGGAATATAAGGAATCAAACGACATGTCGTGGTTCTGGAGAGAAGCGAATTTGCTCCTCTGCGACTCTTCTCTGTTTAGTTTTAGCCTTTTTTTGGTTTTCATGACCAAATTTTTAAATTATATGACATGATTGTTAATTGAATTATTAGGTGTTAATTATGATGTGTCATTAACAAAAAATAAGTACATTTTTTTCATTTGATTTAAAAAATTAGTTTACCTGACATTACCCGTAAATAATTTCAATTTACAATTAAGAACATTCAAACTTGAGTACAAGTTGTACAATGGTGCAAGCACATTGCTATGGCCTTTTTTTTTTTTTACCAACGATAGGGGAGGGGAGTGGGATTAACCTCACAATGCGCTAGCAATAATGTAGTTCAAATTTGTCTTTAGCAACAATAAAACCTAAAATTTCTTACTTAACAATGAAAAAAAAATATTCCTAGACCGTAATATAAAGTGGCTAAAAAATTATCATCTTTTATTTTTAATCAGAATCGTTTATTTTCACTACCATTGAATGATACGGACCATTAAAACAAATCCCGGAAACTTAGCAAATGCCCTCAAACTTATGACCCACCTAGACTTTGAATTTCCTTCCCTCTCTAATCTTTTTAGAAGGCACCAATTTGCTTCAAACCAATTATAAAAGATTAGTGGCACTGCTATAAACACATCAACCATCTCAACTCATTCATCTAACTAGTAGTAAAACAAGGATTAATAGAATTGATTAAACAAAAGGAATTCAAGCCATATGCATTTCACTTTCCGCTTCAAGTACAATATTCTGGTCAGCTACCTTCAATTATAACAACACAAACGATACGGAAAGATAACAACAACATCATCAACAACTATATACCTACATATGTAAGTAAACTATTAATCCAAAAGAGTCGCTCAATCTCCGATTGCAGCGATTCCTCTGCCTATATCGTTTTCAACGAAATGTCCGCCAAGTGAAGTCGGTGAGAGCTATATAGTTATAACCTCTTTGATTCTGTACTCCTATCCTGTACAAAGCTTCTGTGGTTCCTAAATTTCACATTTAACATCTCATAACCTTCTGTTAGCAAAAACGGCAACAGAAAATCAACTTGCCAAAGATGTCAAATCTAGCACCGTCTCATCTACATCCACCTGCTCCATGCTATCAAAAACTGGCACCCCCAAAGCTTTTTACCAAATGCCGATCCAAATGGACAGCCAAAACACAAGTAAGGAAGAACCCTAACTGAGTTGTATACCTTTTTCTTTTGCTGCTTCCACGACAGCATTCGCATTTCCTGTAGTCATCATAGAAAGTTTTTGGTAGGAATTCCACAACTTAACAGAGAACGGATATACAGATAAAGCTCTCTCATAAAACCTCTCAGAAATAACCTCCACGCCTGCAATATTGCCCAAAGTTTCCGCAGCTTCAACCCATACATACTCAGGTGGAATTGGGACAGCATGTAAAATTGCACTGACCAAGTTCGAGCTAGCCCAAAACAAAGCACTGAGAGAAGTAACATCGCCGGCGTTGCTGCAGCTGCTTAACAGCTTACATACGGAAACAGCTAACTGATAGTTGGATGGAGTTTTGTCCAAGATGGCTTCAACAAAATCCACCAGATCTTTTTGCTCACCGAACTTTTCCGGTAAAAGAGATGGTCCATACCATACTTCAAGAACCAAATTCACCAGAGAAAAATCAGATGAAAGTGGACTGAAGATATTACTGACTAGCTGCCGGACTCTTGGCTTCTTGACGTTGTTAATGAAATTTCTTGATAATGGCTCAGAGGTAGGGAAAGCCTGAGAAACACCTAAATAGTGCTCCAAATTCTTCTGTATGCCACTTATGTAACCATTCTCCTTTAACAAAGATTCATCAGTAAGCATAAACGATGCATGTTCTCTAACACAATGCTTCAAGTATTGTGGAACAGCAGCATTCAGTGCCCTATCAAGGGCTGAGCGAGCTTCAATGTGGTCATTCTGCAAGAGATTGTGCAGAGCTAGATTCAGATGTCCAAACATTACGTCCATCCGATTAGGATCGGAACCGAGTGCCTGCCGAACTGAATCTCCTAGAGAGTTATTTGAGTTAACATGTTTCATTCCATCCAATGTACCATTTTGAAGATAGTGAACTTTCCAATCAGAACGAAACCAGCGGTCCATAACTTCTTTAGCCAAATCAAATCTTCCATCCTGAAGGGCACACTCAACGTATTGATTCCAAACACAGTGGATTCCAGGGACTTCTTTTGGCCACTCAGCAAGGGCTTCTTCAAATCTCTCAAAAAGCGAATCCCCCGTCTCATGTTTATGTGCCCGAGCTGATATTAAAACAAGTTCTAAGCAGGATGGGTACAAAGTGAGATATTTATCCAAGAGGTTCCTACATCTTTCTAAGCTGTCAAGAGCTGCCATGCACTTTAAGTGGTTGAGAGCAATGAAATGTGCCAATTTGAGACTAGATTCACTTTTCTCAAGTGATTCAATTTTCATGTATGAGTCTACAGAACCTACTACTGTATCCATCAGCATGAAAGCCCTCTGCTTCTCATCACCTACTAATTCCATGGAAGGCCATTCAAATTCAGAGAGTTCTTTCTGACATTCAAACTGCCGCAATACAGCATCAGGAAGTTTCCTGTAAATAACCAAGTAAACACAACAAACCCCTAATATACATTTGTCATAAATACTTAGGCATGTGAGTATATTAGAGAGCGAGAGGGAATTAGGGTCATCAAAATTTTCAGCAATGGGGAAGAGTCCAAAGACTTTCTGAATGGCCTTCTCAATTTTACCAGACATGCATAAACAATCCATCATTTGCAAAACTAGGTCTAAGATGCATGCACTAGCATGCATTCCATCTATGCCAGAATCAGGAGCATTGCGGCACAGTGTTGAGAGGGCGACATCATATGTTATCAACCGGTCGTCAAGCTGCACCCGACTGTTGATGCACATGAGCCAAAGTTCATAAGATCGATCATTGTATTTTACCTGAAGAACAAGAGGCAAAGTGTTTCCAGGCAAAAGTTTCAATTTCTTATCTCTAATGAAAGACAGAAAGAACATGCTTAGAAAGAAAAGAATATGCCCCTAGATACTAACACAAAAGAAAGGAAATGAGTGCAATAAAAATGAAAATGGAAGTAGTCGAACACTAGAAAATGAAGCATATGAAGGCATCAAATGAGTTATTGTTAAGCATATAAATGTATAAAAACAGTTCCAAGGAAAAATTGCTCAGAGAAAGGTGTTGTCCCAAACCAATCCTACCATGCCACGTGGGATGCGTGATAGGTTTGGGTCATTGCCACCTTGGCATCCCTAATTCATGCAAGTAGTTCTCATACCTTACAGGCTAACTGAGAACATGTAGGGTTGCCGGTATGGCTGTAATACCTATAAGGGTGTATCCGCGAAAACATGCGGAGACTGCCCCCAGTATTCATGCTCCATAAAAGATAAGTCATAAGAGTAGGAATTATGCAACAGCGTACCGCACAGGAGAACATGTCATCTTCCCCTACTGACTTCATATTGCTATAGTAAATAAGCAGATAAAAAATCCAGAGAATAATGGATGTTGGTTCTGCCTCAAGAGCTCGTGACAGCACATGGAGAGCCTGCAAAACTCAAATACATAAGATGACAGTAACTGAAGCCGCTGAACACGGTTATATTTAGGTCATACACCACAGGAGTTACCTTTCTCATGCCCTCAAGTTCGTTAGCCTCCTGGCTGAAAATTAACAGGGCAATCTCCAGGTATTGATCATTGTCACCCAAAGCTTGTGTGAGTTTATCCTACACCAAATTTAACAAGAAAGTTAGCGTAACAAGCGTAACAGAACAATCACATAATAAGATTCTTAGACATCAGCATGTCACAGCAAAAATAAAAACTAAGAAGAGGGGGCAGGGGACGTCTTGATATGAGACACTCCAAGGAAATTCTACGAAGTCTCATCTTTTAAAAATAAATAGAGCTTACCCAGCTGCCAATAATTTTTCATAAAATTACTAAACCCCTGCCTCAAATATTTAAATAATTTTAGAGAAAAAGTTCAAATGGGAAGATAGAGAACTCAATCTAAAACAGCGAAAAACACTAAACAGCGATCTAAAACAACGTAAACGCTAAACAGTATAACAGTCCAAGCTTATATAGTGAATAGAAGAATTGAGATTGTTAGAAACTTATGACTAATGAAACCCAGCTAAAGAAACTCAAATAATTTACAGCACCTAAACACCAAGTATATAAACAGTATTAGCGTGCAATATTAGGCACATGAATGACAGAAAAAAAATTTTAAGCAGAATCAATTAACAAACCACTCCTCCGTTGCTATTCTGGAAAAACGATGACTGTCTGTTCAAACTCACGGGGGCCTCTATGTGACCGTCATTTCCATGTAAGAATGGTACATCTGCAGAAACATCTTTCCGAAACAAATTTGACAACACCAAGAAATGGCTGAAACACTTTTTCCAGAATTGTCCATTTCGCCATGCTAGAACAGATTCATATGAATGCAGATCAGTTTTCAGAATACCTAAGCCAACAAGATAAGTTGGTGAAGATATTACATTGCGATACAAGGGAGCTTTTGTTGAACCATCACACTTTCTTCGACGCAATGTTGATCCAACCTGACAATCTGTGAACACATTATAACATGAATACGAGAAAGAAAATAAAAATTCAAACTTTATGATGGAATTGCTCATACCAGTACTATCAGAGTTACCATGCTGATCTTGATACAAAGTTGTGTTATAGTCCCTAACATGTTGCCATGGACAGTCATCATTGTTGCATTTTCCTCGAAGCTCATACAAGCAGAGTGGCCAAAAGGGATCAACAGCGGGACCAGTGCTATAAGATCCAACTTCTCTTCCAGATAATTCTACCAGAGTCTCTTCCGGTGGTTCTACCATGGCACTGCTGGACCGGATATTCTCGGGGTTGATACAAGTGGGACGCTGTTGACTTCTAGCTTGAGGTTCTATATAACTTTTTGAGCATATGACTTTCATATACCCAAAAGCAGTCCTTAAGATGTTACCTCTGAAGTAAAACCTGTCCTCAGAATATAAATTGGAGTGAGAGTTCGCAGAAAGATTTTCGACGGAGTGCTCTCTTTGAATCTCAAGAGGAGGCTCAGAGGAATTTTTTTCGAGCCCATCCATACCTGTAAGTAAAATCAGAAAATCAAAGAAAAAAGAGACGCAGAGCAATAGAGATCAAGTATAAGCTTCTTATGCTCAATGCCTACTCTGTGCCAAATGGATTCCCACTGTTTGACTTCATGACAATCATGCATAAGTTCTGACTTGAGGTAACACAAACTGATAGTTTTGGAAGCCATAGTATTAAGTAGCAATGAGTAAGTAATTCAAAACTCACACTATCAAAGTAGTTGTGTAAAATAGGCTGGACGGGCACAAGCACTGAAAGGTGCCAGCACAGCCTTGTTACAGACACGACACAGGTACAAACTGTGTCAGTTGGCACGAGCACAACCCAAGTACCGTGTGAGCCAAAGTTTTGGGCCCATTAGGCAGGCAAGCTAGGATGCCACTCAGACCGAGCACAGACCAAGCAGAAGCATAAGCACAAAATTGGCCTCAAGCTAGCATGACTCATTTAGAAATTGTTTTTTTATTCAAAAAATAAAAAAAGCAAATTCAAATGTTCAAGCAAAATACTTTTAATATCTAATTATAGATTAAACTTTGGCTCGCACTGCGCATCAAGCAAGAAAAGTTTACACCCAAAAGATGGATGGCTAATATTATCTGAATTCAAAATTTATATCAAACTGCATGATAAAAGAGCAAGACTATATATGTGATTCAAATGTGGGATGTCACAGAATGTGTACTGAGAGATGCACATCTGCATCATGCAAGCCCTCAGGTTATGCATGCATCCAAAAGATGATAAACGAGATGATTTAGTCAAGTTCAAGATGATAAAAACACACATTGACCATGTAATATTAAACTAAAATTAATCTACTCAAGAGTCATAAATAATCAGCTCCACTGAAAATAACATCAAAAGTTCAACAAGTGGACTTCTTTTTTCCCCAGATATAGAAAGATCAGCTCAAAAAGAAAGTTACCTTCATCATCAGATTGTTGATTCTTTTCCACTTCAGAGAAAGAAAAAGTCCCTTTAATTTCTTTGGTTTTTTCCGTTCTGAAATCATTTTCAGCCCCTTCTTCCACTGAAAGTTCTGTGCCATTACAAGAACTACTATTCTTTGACAATGTTTTTGTACCTAGCTTTGCAAATAGTTTAGACCTCAACATTCTTTCAAGAAGCACAGGATCCTGGGAGTTATCAATGGACATTTTTCTATTTGATTCCTGATCTAAGTCCTTTTGCTTGTCTCCAAGGTCCATGTCTTTAGGTTGAACAGATTCATTTTCAAATGAATATCTCTCATCATCATTATCTGCTGAATTATTCAGTTCATTGGAGGGAGAGGACACTCCATCTGCGCCGTTTTTGCCTAGAAGAGGCAATGGCTCTGATGTACTAGCATCTGGTTCGCTGCATGGTTCTGACCCCATGTTTTGTCCACTCAAATGCTTGTATGAGGTGTTGTGAGCACTGTTAACACATTGGATGTCTGAATCACACGCTGCTGGGTTAAAACCACTATGCTCAGGATGCATCTGATGGCTTGATGTAGGTATTAGATTCACATTTCCAGTCATGTTATTAGCATGATCCAACCCAATTCCAGCTTGGTCATTCTGCCTTAACGACCATAGCAAACTGGAATTGTCCAAAATAAACGACCTCAAGTTGGCAGAATATACTTCTCTTTTGCGGTATAGATCAGAACACCTAGCATTGGCCTCAAGAACATCCCTCTGTGCTTTACGATAAGCTTTCAGAGCATTTCTTTCTTCAATTTCACACGTTCGCCTATGTTCTTGTGCTTCCTCCAGATCCTTGTCCAATGTTTCCTCAATTTCAAACAAGGAATGCATATCTATGTCTCCCCGTCCTGTAACCTTTGCATTACCAAAACAGTTCGAGAGGCTTGCATTGTTTAGAAATGCCTAAAGGAAATTAGAAGGAAGGAATATTAATATAATTAACAAAGAATAGATAACAATCAAGAAAAAATATACAACCAGACTGATGAAGCGGATTACTGGTTCATCCATGTCTATCTTTTTAGGACTTACCACTTTGTAATAGCTTTATGATTTTTTTGTTTTTTTTCCTTCCCTACTTACCTCTAGGTGATTATTTGGGACTTTTAGGGGTTTACTTTGATCACTTCCTCAAATTGCTTTGTATTTCACTCTTCTCTTAGTTTTTTTCTTTCCAGTTAGTGCTCTACCCATTCTATAGTGCTCTACCCATTCTACATCACAGACAGATCAGATGCCTCAAATTTCTGACATAGAGACCAGAAAACAAACCTGACATATCTTGGAGGAGGGATCAAGCTTCTTGTCACTGGATGTGACTTCCTGATGGTCAGAACTTCTCATTATATTCTTTCCGGAGGTTGATCTGTTCAAGAAGGAACCTGGTTCTAGACGGCGATCATCCCCATGTGTATGATTCAATTCCATAGTCTCCTGTAAAGTAAAATATATTAATAAATAAATACATGGTAACCTTTTGAAAATGAAACACATGCACCAAAAAAATTCTAAACAAATTATACATAGGCAATCGGGCTTGTCATATCAAACCTTGTAGTAAAATGATGTTTTACAAACTCATTCACAATGGATCAAGGCTCAGCAATATAAACTGCTTCATAAGTACAGAAAAGAGTTGACGGGACAATTTGGTGGATTAAGGTTAAGCTATAAAAAGTTATAAACTATACTGGAGATATTAACTCTTCTCCGTGTACAATTCAGTGTTTTCTGCAAGGCAGAAATCACTATTATGGGAACTTAGACACCAGTTTCATACTATATTAAATTTTCACAAAGCGCAACATGAGAGACACATCAAACACAAACAGCAAAGATGCTGCACAAGTTTTACCACCAATGAAAGGACATTTCAATTATGAAAGTTAAATCAGGGCAGAGGTGAGGAAATAGGATAATAAAACCTACAATATAGGAAAATTAAATTAATCAGCAGCAGTACTGCAGTTACTAAAATATTCACTTACTGAGTTCTTCGGCAAATTATTGCAAGTCATACTTTCTGGTGATGTCACCTTGTTTAGTGTAGCATAAGGATCCACCAGCTTGCTCTTCCTATCGGACTGGATGACTTTAGTATTAATGCCAGCACCTGCAGGAAGAAAAAAGAAACAAATCATCTTGATTGATAAGGCATCTCTAAACAGTTAGTTTCAGAGAGAGAAGGCAAGATATTCACCATCTTTCACTCCACTACATATATTTTCTGATGTAGCAGCAACATGTTTATCATTTTGATTTTTCCATTCTACGATGCTTAACTCTGTTGGACCAGGAATTCCTTTCTGGCCATGATCAACCTTAACTCTGTTCATTGGACCATCGTCCTCCGCTGCTGAGACTTTTGATGATAAAATAGATTTTGCAACAGGTACATCTTGTGGGCCTTGAACACTTGACTGGGTGGAAAAAGGGCCACCAACTTTCAAGCGTTTCTTATCTGGCTCTTTTGGTTCTATCTGTGTAACATCAGAATATCTCACACTGGATTTACTAGCTCCATCTCTGTGTTGGCTCACAGCATTATCGTCCCTACATGTAATTGATTCTTTAGTTCTCTGGGCAGACTTGAGCTTTAGTTCACTTTCCCGGAGTGCAATCTGATGCCGCAAGTCCTGAAGTTTACTCGTGTTCAAGCCCACACCTTGATCACGTATCTGATGCCGCAAGTCCTGAAGTTTACTATTGTTCAAGCCCGCACCTTGATCACGTCCACGCTCTTGGCTCACTAAATTTTTGTTCATGGAATCATAATTTCTAACTCGAGATCCTTGATTAACTGATGAAGGACCAGAATCCCGAAAATTTGCTCCACGGATTTTGGACATTGATGAGATAAAAGTGCGATTCATACCCAATTTTTTAGGCATTACTTTGTCCGCATTCCTGGCTGTCTGTTGTAACTTGTTTGATCTTGCAAGTGATGAAGTAGGTGGTTTTCCATTAAAAACCACTCCAGTCACATGACTTTTAGTTTCTCTAGCTTTTTCTTTCCTGTGCTCTGTTTCTTCAGAATCACTGCGACTATCATCGTCTGAGAAGTTTATAACAAGATTATCGTTGGACCCCATAGGGGCACCCCATCCAGGTGTGGCAGATTTTAATGGTATTCGGTTTGTATCATTGCTCTTCTGGGATGTAGACTGTACGGATATTTGGGTTTGAATATCAGCAGGGCTTGCGGGATCATTTCCACATACAACCTTCCCTGTTAGATTAAGATAAATACATCTAATGAACTTGTAGTACAGGAAAGGAATATTTATCATTAGCTTATATGCATTACTCACTTCACCATACATCATGAAAATAAAACTAACGATAAGTATGCAAATCTATTGGCCCAACAAGAAAGATGCAAATGGACACGTAAATAACAGGTGCAATATGGTGGTCTGGCTTTTTACCACATCATTTAATGGGAAAAGATGCACAAAAAGTCAGTGTCCAGCTCTAGTACAAAACACACAAGCCACCAACTCTGTGTGGGCGTGTTCATTAAGTACATTAGTTTATCGCATCCATGTCTCCTTAACAGATGTGCATTATGTTTTAACCACATGACTACAAATAATTTCAAATTGGTCAAGGCACTGTATGAAAAAAGATTAGCCAATGCCAGTTTGGCACGACATGGGAGTTGACGTTGGTGCTCTATATAAATTTTCCACCTTAAACAATATTTAAAAGAAAAGAAAGGACTCATCATCTTTCATTGTCACGGCAAGCAAGACTTACCAACTTGAATGCCTTGAGTCAGTTTGTTCAATGGTTGAACAGGCACAGCCCCTGAAGGAGGCACGCTGATACCCGTGGAATGTGGAGCAGAGCAAATAGTATTGTCCTGTGATGTGAGATAGAAATAGCCATTTAACACCATCATTATTTTTGCATTTATTTTGCAGCAGTGCAGAAAATAATAATAACCTCAAAAAATCGCATATAACATCAAACATTTTGCTGCAAAACAAAGCACATGATATATAAGGCATGCCCTAAATGATACAAACAAAATCAGATTCAAAACATCACATATTTGGCTAAATACAAATCACTTCACACGAAAAACACCTAAATTGAAATCCCAATTTCAAATTTCACTCATTTTTCACTCCAAAAAGTAATGAACTCATATAAAGATTAAATAAATCCAAATCCAACACTCTTACTCAATCTAATACAGTAGGTTAACATAGCATGACTGCACGAGAAATTGATTCAGGAAAAGGGAATTCCCACCTCTTCTCTCAGAAACCAAACAAATACCAATCATACAGATAACATTTACGAACGCTTAGAAACAAACGGAATCGGAACCAAAATCAAGTTTTCAAAAACTAGGGTTTGGGGAGATGAACATACGTCGTCGTCGTCGTCGTCGGAAGACAGCTCGCCCTCTTCTCTGGTTTTGGGAGGATCGGAAGAAGGGAGCTCCGAGTTAGGGTTCGCGTTGGGAGGAGGCGGCGGCGGCAGCTCTGACGACACCGTTGGCGTGGCGGCCGTTGCGTCCTCCATTGTTGAGTCCATCTCGCGGGCAAAGAGAGAGACTTTTCAGAGAGTAATTTCGTGGAGCATCTGGAGGGAGTCAATAAATGGAAAGGGGAGGGTCAAGTTTTGCTGACTCTCTCTCTCTCTCTCTCTCTCTGTGTGGGAGAAGGAAAACGCGTCTCGATGGACGACGTGAAATTCACGATATGAGGTGGGGAGGTGGTTGTTTTGTGATGAGAGGATGGACAAACGGCAATAAGGTCCAGCGCGCACTAAATAGTATTGCAACCTTTGTTTGACTTTCTTTTTGTTTTCTTATTATTTTCAACCTTTTTGCTCATGTAAAATAAAAAAATTATATCCAAGATCGGCAACGACTGCCTTTTTATTAAATTGCGGAAAGAGGATTTAAACAAAGGGTTTCGGATGCAAAATAAATTTTTTTAACCAACTGAATTATAAGTCATTGACGTTTTACTCAAGCTTGCTTCTCAGGGTCTTACAATGGTTGTCATGGCTTTTTACTCATCAGGGATTGACATTTGACTCGATAATTGGGATATGTGTGATTATACGTCATCTATTTTGAGACTAGCTAGTTATTATGGTTAGTTTATTGTGATGTTTAACCTGATTTTCTATCAAAGTAGATAATGTATTATAAAAAATATATCGTAAATTGAACTCTCCATTCATTTATATAAAGTGTAGTGTTCTTTCTTCATTCTTGTGTCACCTTTGAGTTTATATATGTGGTGTGTAACTTGATATTCTTGTTATCTTTTTAGTCAGCAGGTTCAGCAAGTGTGTCTACGTCCTCTTGACAATAGCAGTAGTATTTCTCGTTATCAAACTGAAATTACAAAGGCAATGGAAACAATAGATTGTGTACCTTCTTCTTCTACTGCTTGTGTTTTATTTTTGAGCTAATATTTGACAATTATATAGGAATTGTGAGATGTGCTGATTAGGAATACTGGTTAGAAATCCTTAAGGGTGCGTTTGTTGCACCGGACTGTCTCGGACTGGACTAGCTTCAGGGACTAAGTTGGACTGGCTTAGACTAGACTAAGCTGGACTAGTTTAGTGAAGCGTTTGGTGTAGTGTCGGACTAAGAAGCAGGATAAAAAGAAAAATGAAAAAAAAACCCATGATATATTACAAAATATTTTATTTCCTTCAACTTCAATTTCAACCAAATATTAACGTTATTCTTGTTAAACATTTCATCTTCTCCATGTTCAAAGTATGTTGGTGTCACTCAAATACCGTATTTAATCCAACCTCCTTTCTTCTTCTAGCAATTGCCACCAGTGCCATCTACCATACTAGATATTGCAAATTCTTGAGATTTCAAAACCAACAATTGATAATTTGTTTCACATTTAAACAAAAACCCATCCACAACAAAGCAACCCATCACAATTTTTCCCCAAAAATATCAAATTTACACAAAAGAATCAATGTGGGTTTTGCGAATAAGGAAATATACCAACAAGAACAAATAATACAAAAGCCATACATCAGATCTAGCAAAAACATATACATACATATAAGTGTGCATGTATATGTGTGTATATATACATATATATACAAACCCAGAAAATGGGGCTTTCTATAATCTCAGCTTAAATTAGAAAGAACCACCATTGCAAACACCATTAAACCAAACGGAACATATTCAAAAAGCTGAAATTCATATTATATTACCAAAAAAATAAGCAAATATGAGGAAGATTGAGGATATATGTCATTACATCTTTCCATCTGAAAATATCAGTTCTTCGTGCCCAGATGGACTTCGCGGCCAACATCATCTGAATTCAACCTCCTTCTGAGCGAGCTGACGCGGTGCTACGGCGGTGGTGGCCATCGTCGAGACTTAGATAGAGAGAGCGGGAGATGACCTTGGGAAATGGAGTGGGGTGGCGCCGGCATCGATCTGGGCCTCAGATCGAATCGACCCATCGGTGGGTGCTAATTCGATTTTGGGATTTAGGGGTGGGTGGTAATGAGATAGAGCAGGGAGAGAAAAGAAGATCCATGCAGGGAAGGAGTGGAGGATTTGACGTCGAGGTCGTTGATTACGATGAGCAGTGAACAGACGAAGCAGACGAAGGAAAGGCTTAGCAGTCCGCTGCATTTTGGGGGGTTTCGCTAAGAACCTCTAACGAGGTCTCTAGTCGAGGCGAATCCCGTTTAATCCTACTAAAACTAGTCCCTGGGATTGCCAAACACGGGACTACACTAATTTTTAATGTAGTCCAATCCAGTGAAGGTTAGTGAACCCAAACAAACACACCCTAAAAATTGTGTGCCTCTCCACTGAGCCATTTTCTTTAACTTTGTCCCACACATAAAGGTCTATTTAAACCAAATAATGTCATCCACATTTACAACATCTACTTTGTTTTTCCAAATTTATTTTTAGTGTGACTTGTAAGTTATGTTTAATATGAGGGCTTTAGGGAATTGCCCCGAATCCTCTTTTCTCGACATGAATTAGCTCTTGATCTAAATGATAATTCTCTTCCCAATTGGATTCCTTGAGATGTCTATATTTATCAATAATTAAATAAAAATCACACAGATTATTGATCATATGATTCATATATATAGATATATCCCATGTAATACAAGAACAAAACTAAGGATCATCTTTCATTAGCATTGATGATTTGGTACATCTTTCATTCCATTTCTCTTTTTACAAATGTTAAAATGAACGGATACGATTATACAAAAAAAAAAAAAAAAAAAAAAAAAAACACTAAAATTAATTTAATGTTCGTATAGTTTCGGATTTGGATGATTTTTTATAGACTGATGTTTGAACTTTGAAGTAAGTCAAAAAAGATAAATGGTTGGATCTTTCAAATACCTTATAGAGTGAGCCTCACAAAAGCTTTTGTCCCCAAATCCTAGTCCTATATCTATATATAAGGAGAAGGCAAAAATGGTGAAACATTGATAATCCGAAAATTACCCTCTCCTATTAAATTTTCAAATAAAATAAGAAAATCACAAAAAAAAACTCACTCCCATAACTAACTTTATTATTATTTTTAAATATATTATTATTTTGTTTTTCTGTTTTTTATTTTTTCAAAAAAATAAAATCAAAAGAGCCAATTGCTACACGCGTACTCGTGTGCAAGAGGCACTTGAAGGTGGTGGAAGGTGAGAAGAGGTTGAGCTGAGCCACAGTTACTAAATTTTACCCTGAAAAACACATATAGAGAAAGAGAGAGAATTAACCCTTTTTTTTTTTTTTATCAAAAGAGAGAGAATTAGATAGGTAACTTAATAAGGGTTGGTCAATCTGTAATTTTAACCTGGAAGAGGTGCCTTAATTTAATTTACTTTTCGTGACCTATACCCAGGGGCAAGACCCATACCAAGGACACTAATCCTATCCCTTCATCCCATCCCATCCCATCCCATCCAATCCGATCGAACCCAATCCTTTCGTAGTTCACTTCACACGATCGGTCACCTGGATGGATTTCCAGCCTTACACGACAAGAACATCCGAAGGCCTCAAGGTACAATACTGGCATATATCTGAATATGCGCAATCGGGCGATGAAACTATGGTGGAATATCGCATATGCGAAGCTTTGCTAAGAAAATGTATACTTATCAATCAATAGCACCAATTGCAGAAAGGAACATATTATTGCAGACGAAAAAAGCTGGCAACTTACATTGAGAAACAGCACTGATCTAAGTGACAAACAATCCGATATGTCAAGTGTCAGCCACCAAAAGCATGAACACAAAATTTTCAGCTTTCTATTACCTACGATTCTCTGTGCCAGCTTTAATCTACCATAAAGAGTCAATACTAATTCTTTCACTGATATGCAAAAACTTTCTGGGAACAAAAAACGGGTGGGGATTCAGCTGATGATCATTTTGTTAAGGAAGTCAGCTTTCTCAGGAAAGTACTCTATCAGTTCATCCTTGGTCACCCATACAAAGTCCTCACACTTCCCAATGTCAAACTTGTTGGCTGCAATCACTTGAGATTTGAAAAAGAATTGCTGAAAAATGAAGGAAAATGAAATTGTGATTACATATACAGGATCGACAGGCAACACCAATTTGCATTTTAACATTTATCGCGTGAAGCCAATCTGGTGTAAGAAAGAAAACATAATTTACGAAAGTATACCTTAATATTCTCTTCTGGCTGTTCCATATGGCCCATGGGCGCATTTCCAACAAAGTACGTGTGTGAGAGGTTTCCCAAGACAGATTTTAAAGCAGATTCGGCACACTGAAAATAGAACGGATTTATTCAATTGAGGAAAAAAACGAAGAACTACATGGAATTTTAGGAGGATAAAGAAGAAGAGAAGTATATGGCATCGTATAGCAACCATCACCTTCCGCAGTGTCTCTTCAGACTGGTAAACTTTTTCGGGAAATTGCCAGACTGACTTCCCAGCAGATCCATCAGTTTTTCCGTAGAGCAGAAGATATAGTCTTCTGTCAAGTGCTCTCTGCAATGACCTAAAGAACAAGAACCAACCTTTAACATTATGTTTTTCACATATAGAAAAAGTAATTACCCCGAACTATCAATAAAAATCACTCAAATGTCCAACAGCTAGCAGAAAACAATTTATCTGTCATCTAACATCCAAGAAGGTTGTAGAAAAGGTTTTACAAAGAATATGATGATCTCACAATATCATAAGCAATAAGAACTTCAAACAAAACCGTAAAATTAAAATTGCAAAAAAAAAAAAAAAAAAAAAAAAAAAAAAAATGTAATAAGAATAACAGTAGTACGGGACTTTTATATAGCATCATAAAAATTATACTCCATACTTTTTATCATTCGTTTTGTCAGCTTCGGTGATCCGTGGAGCAGGTACATAATCAATTTGGTAGTCACCTTTTCCCCTGTTCACCAAAAGTAAGTGTCAAGCTAGAGGATGACTTCTATTTGCAATTGTCTTGTGGGCATCAAGTGTGAGTAAGGCTTACACAATAAACCAAAAAAATCGCTTATAAACTTTGATATGATTGCTTGGCAGATGTACACTTTCAGTGCTTCCCATAAAATAAGAACAGAATGAATGAGGTATAGGGATAGACCTCCCAGAATATATACTAAACCTCATCGTTCCTCGTACTAATATCAACATCATCCCTTTTCAAAACTCAGAGACGCATAAAACAAAGTCCATAAGGATGCTTGCATGCCTTTCCTTGTTAAAAGAAATATAACACAGTCCACTACGCTTAAAAGAACGCATATCAACATTTCATGAGACTGTCAACTATTAAAAACTCACTTACTGAGTTGGAGCCATTTAAACTGATGAACGGTTTGACCTTACACTAGACGCATGATTTTTAAATAAACGTTGGAAATCTAAAGACGTTCCAATCAACAAACAGAGCAAAATTATTTAGTGCAATTGGGGAATAAGCTCGAGGACAGATTTTAGGGGTGAATGCATTTTTAAGGTCTACGGTTTAGAAACTAGTTATTAGAACATAAGTGAACAACCGTGATGTGATTGCTACAATAGAGGTAAAAAGAAAGCAAACATTTGTATGAAAGATAGTTGTTTCTTTTATAAGAACATATTCCCTGTTGAAATAGTAAACCTTCAACACAAACCTTACCTAGCATTGGACTTGTCTAAAAGCTCATCTGGATATATGCGCCGATATTGCTGCCGCCACCGGAACCTAAACCACATGGAGGAAGACACCAATATGAGCCACTCATAACATTAATTCACATAATCAACAGAACTTAAACCAAATTTACAAAAATGTAGGTATTCTGGTCAATATCTATCACCATAGCACATGCATCACACCAAAAAAAATACCAAAATTCAAGCCATCCTTCATTCACTTGCCCAGAACCCACCATTTGCGAATAAGATAAGTAAAAGCACTCCAACAAGGAATTGAGAACGAAAATTATGGACTTCTACAGCAAAGTGATTCACATTTTCACTTCTTTTCCACAACTATCTCGGCAACTAATCCCTACCCTCTAATCTAGATTTTCTGAGCAACCAAACAGAAAATAAACAAGAAAGAAAAACATTTCGAGAGAGAATAAGAAGCAAACGTACGCGAACTCCTGATACGCATAAACGACGGGGTCGATTTTGGGGATGACGACAGGCAGCCTCTCGAAGAGTACAGACGCGACGATTTTCTCGGAAGAAGACGATGGGATGGTGGAAAATCCGCGGCCTCTCGCCAGAGTCCCACGCAAAAGCGGGATGGTCCTCTGCATTCTGGATCCACACCCGCCCAGAATCTGAACCGGAGAATTTCAGGAAAAGCCCTTTCTAAAACCCTGATTCAGTCTAGTGAATTAATAAGTGGCAGTAATATGATTGACACCTGTCTCATATCTGGCTACGTTTCATGGAACGTGCGTGCCTCAAGTGAGGGAGTGCAACTTGTTAGAACTAATTTACCGTCACCTGATATCTTAATTTAATAATCCAAATCATGCGGAAATTTTTTTATACTTCTCATTGCATAATCTGATTGAGACACCAAAATAATGACAAATTCGTTGGATATAAGTCCTCAGTCCTCACATAGCACGACGGTAGAGGTACGTAAAATACCAAAAATATCTATAAAAAGTTTAAGTGGTTTATTGTAATATTTTTTTAATAGATAGTACCAAAAAAAATAATATATATACACACGTGTCACATTTTTTCCAACGAGAAACTAACAAGCTCTATGATTGAAGCATATTTTGTCACCACCATAACTATGATGTATACTTAGTGTACACTGAATCATCTTCCACGTGTCATTTCATATAACTTTAATTAACTTTCACATTAAATGTTACTTTTTCAATTGTGAAAAAATTAATCAAAGTTAAGTAGAGGACCTGTGTCGAATGAGTAAGTGTACGGTGAACATACACAATAGTTTATGGTGGTGAGCAAAAATGCACCCTTTATGATTGACTGATTATATCTTTTCTACTAGTATATTCCTACACACAAAGTGTGTAAATTTTTTTTTTTTTTTTTTTTAAATTGAAGGAGAGAAGAAGACAGTAAGAGAATATGGGGATGGAATTATATTACTGCTCTTAAATTTTTTTATTGTGATAGAATATTAAATAATCTTTTCGCTAAAGAAAGCTTTGTTAAAATTATAGTTGATCACCACGTGTCACATTTCTGGCTACGTTTCACGGAAAGTGCGTGCTCCGGAGGTGAACGATTGTTAACGGCCTTCTGGCAAATATAATTGCGTAACCTCAGGTACACGGTACTGCTGAGCCCTGCAAAACCAAAAACCCTTTCACTCACTCACTCATTGTCTTGCAAAACCCTCAGCTCTCGGCCATTTCCCGAAATGCCCCCGCCGCTTGACATGTCGCTCGACGATCTCATGTGGAGGCGCAAGGCGGAGAAGTCTGAAGCCGGAGGGCATCGCCGTGATTTCAGAGTCCCCTCAGGCGGCCGAGGCTACGCGCCGGGACCCACTCGTCAGCTCGTGAAACGCAACCCCGTTAGAACGGCGCGCTACTTTCCTAAACCGGTGCGCTAGGGTTTCTCCTTTCCTACATTTTCCGGTTTGACGAGTTTAATGCATTGCTTGGTTGCTGAGAAAATGCGGGAAAAATACAAATAAATTAACATAATATTATTAGTAGTATTTTTCAAAGAAAAATGTTACCCTTAATCCGCGTGTTCAAATTTTGTAGGCGGAAGTAAGTTTTCTGAGCTACATTTTCTCGGGAACCAAGCAAGAATTTGGCTCTCTGTATATATAGCTCTGTTATGCATATGGGTTTTTGTTGTTTACTTTATTATATAATTAACAAACGTGATGCAGAAAGTGCAAGTTCCAAGATCAAGATTTGAGCACGAAATGGATGTGACCATGGGGACAGACTCACCGAAGGGAACCAAGTTATACATATCTAACTTGGATTATGAGGTCTCGAGTAGCGATATTGAGGTAGCTCGCTGTTCCCCTTCCAGTTTTATTAACTTGTTTATGTTATTGTTTGTGTGCAGAACAATTTAATGTTTTGGGGTTTGGTAAATTTCTATGGGAGGAATGTAGGTGACAACCTTTAGTTATCACAAAAAAAGTAGAAAAATATTATATGGTTATGTGGTTGGTTTGCAGGCCCAGAGAATCTCCGTACGGGTTTTGTTTGAAATGGGTTCTATCTTTTCATATGGTCTTTGTAATCTGTAGGATTGGAGTTAGAGGGTTGGATGAGCAAAAAAAAGTTTACCTGGAAGGCTGGAACCAAGATTGAGAATGTGTCGTTTCATGCCTCCTGTATGTAAAGGGTTTTTTTTTTTTGGATATGGACTGCGATCTTCCAATCTAGTGTTACTGGGATGGTTCTGCTGACAAATAGTTCAACATGTGTTTTATGGCAGTATTTGAATAAAAAACAAAGTACGTTTGTCGCCGTATCTATTTATTTTGTTTCTTTGGTTTTTGCTTCTGTATGTGCAACTGAATGTGAGTGGTGTGTGGGTAAAGTCAGAAACTTAGCAGTTGCTAATAATGCATAGGGTGCTGCTCAATCATACGGTTGGATGTTTCTCAGTTCTTCTTGATGTTGTTTAGCTCGGCCTTCAGCATGACAATTCATGCATTAGAACCGCATGTGTCAAACTTAAACTTGGTTGAACTCTATGTATCCCCCACTCGTTTGCAATTAAGTGAAAGAGTTGATAACCACAATGCTACCCTGCAGTTGCTCTTCTCTGATATTGGTCATGTGATAAACCATTCAATCCATTATGATAGGAGTGGAAGATCAAAGGTATCTTTCAATTTTTACATCAATAGATTGTTCTCAATTATATTTTTCTTTTTGATGGTTTATAAGTTTTGCTTATATTTAGGGAACGGCGGAAGTTAGATATCTACACCATTCAGATGCTCTAACAGCAATCAAGAAATATAACGATGTTCAGCTTGATGGAAAGCCAATGAAAATTGAGCTTGTGGGAGTGAGTCCTGTTGCTTCGGTTCCTGTGCCTCCAATTACAAGTAGATTGATGGGAAAACGAAACGTTGTCTTCCAAAGGTATATAGGTTCTCTCTTTCTTTTGGGGTCATCCATATCCATATAATGCATCTGTGCTGTATATTAAAGTCAGGACTGTCAATTATAACTGGATAAACCGGAAAAAAAGAAAGGACTGCCAGTTAAGCCCAACCTAAATTTATCAGCAGAATATTAATTTGTCATTATTCACAGAGATAAAATAATTCGATAAGTAATGTATGTGTACTGGGCTGTTGGTTATATGTGTGCAAGACCGTGCAAACACTGAGACACATTCAGAACAATTTGATTGGTGGAGTATAAGTAATATACAATCTATTGTCTGCAGTTAATTGTTGGAAAATTAGGAAAGAAAAGGCATGTGAAATAGTTTCCTGTTGATGCCATCTCAATTGTCCTAGTTATATATTTTAGGGGCTTAGCTTAGGGGTTTCCATCATTCATCAACTTATTTTTCGTCACGTGCTTGGGCAGTGGAAAAGGTCAAGCTGGTGGTAGGGAATTCTTTCGTGGTCTTGGTACTGGTGGCTTTGGACTTGGAAGGGGCCATGGACAGGTGAAGCATCCTCGTGAGCAGGTGAAGCCGCCTCGTGAGAAAGTGACTTTTGAAGATCTGGATGCTGACTTGGAGAACTACCGCCAAAAACGCTTGCTGGTGAATTGAAGTCATATTTGAAATGTACACACTGGTAGTCTAGGGAGTTTGAGTCACCAACTGGTATAATATACGTATATGGAGCATTACCTATTAGTATTACTAGCTCCTCAGTACTTTAATTTTACACTGGAAGTGGTAAGTTCCATTTTGTGCTCCATGCTAAGAGAGTTGCAGCTGCATAAAGAAAAATGTGTACAATGCCACCCCTTTTGGTTTTATATATGAGCGCTAAATTTCTAGGCCGGCAGACATCTTTCTTCCTGGCTTCGGCCGCAATCTTCTGGATAGTATCTCTGATTTGGTTGCTCATTTTTATCTGCTTACTTCTTTGTTATTTCAAGTAAGAAGCACCAAATGCTTGTCAAGTTCACTTCAATGGTAGGCATATGATGGCAGCAGATTGGATGCTCCCAAAAGATGATATTATTTTGCTCACAGTTGCTACGAAGTCTCTGAACTCGACCTGTACACGATTAACCCTAAACTCTTTCTTCTTTCACACAAACTTTGTTCCCTCGATCTCTCCTTTACATGGCTTTGAGAAAATTGTGCACTGATTCTTTTGGTGATGACTGGTTTCTTTGGTTCTTGTTACGGCGATGTTTATGGAGTTGGCGAGTTTGACGGGTGGACGTCTAGAGGTCGACATCAAAGTTACCTTACCTATACGGCTACACCGGCTGCGGCGTCCGCAAGTCCAAGCCCTGCACCTTCCGACTCCTCGCATTATGCCTCTTGGGTTTCATATTTTCGACATGTTCTGTAACATCTTTGTTTTGTCAATAGACTTTTTAGTATAGGCTATAACTTTTTTCAATTGAATCTTTTTTCTACAAACAAAAATCTAAATACACATTGTCACGGTCGAATTTAGAACCCATCAGCAAACAAAGAAATAAAACCAATACTTCCTCTCAAAATCGATCGATCGAACATGAAAAACAAAATTTCTCAAGAGACATGCAAAAAAGATTCAATTTCTCTATAGCCATTTTACAACAATCAACAATTAGCTGAAGGAAACGGGAAAAAAAGATGGAATCAAAACGAAAATAATTGAAAATAATTCACATATTTACAATGTCGAAAATAAACCCTGGAGACTCAAAAATCAGCGCAGGCACACTTTGGGGTGCCCTGAAAAAACAGACACCCCTGTGTTGCCCCTATTAACGGAATTAGAGAAGCATAAAGTCGGGTAATACCCTCTAATACCTCGGTATACTCTGTCCACTAAACATACAAAGATCAATTCTCTTCGCGTTGCTGTCAGGAAGACGAAGCTCTATGAGTAACAAATGTAAAAAACTTTCACTGCCCATGTATGTCAATATCGCCTTCAGGAATTACTAAATATAACGAAGGCTTGGACGAAAATGGAAATCTGGAGTCTACAGAATATATTCTCCGAAAGTTTCCCACAAGGTCTCTTGGCATTGTAATGCACAATAACTGCATGCACACGACAGAAAAAGTATATATTATTAAACAGACAAATCTTAGCATAAAGTACAATAATGCACAAAATTCATTGAGGATAGGTGGCAGTACCTCGAGATATGTCTACATGCTACGCCCGTGCCTTGCAACTTCCAGTTGCAGAACGAAAGGCAGAAGAAGAATTAAACATTTCCAAACTTTCTGAGAGCTACTTGTGCTCTAAGTATCTTCTTTTCTGACGAGCCCCCGCCATAATCCTTCAGCTGAACATGAACTTCATGCATTTTACAAAACAAAGGCGTCCCCCAACAGTTCAATACATAATGTACAGTATGGATAGGAAGATATGGGAAGTAGATCTCGATCTGGCTCACCATTTTCTAATCATTTGAGAAGGACAACCACAAGGAACTGATTGCTGACGTCCCCACTGTGTTCGGTAGGAAAGACTTTTCAGCCTTATCCAACATGTAATGCATCTCCTACCCTCTGTTTTACTATTTTTCCCAAGAATTTCATGGATGCTTTGAAAATTAAGCATAATCCCAGACATAGGTTTTTCAAACTTGCCAAATAGTGCTGTTCAAGGATTAGCATATGTGTCATTGTGATGGCATGAGCCTGTGCTTGGAAGCATTGTTCTACAAGTATAGGGAAACATCTACAATTCTGCATCACCAGATTACAACCCGGTTCCAAGATCGTTTGCCAGCTGAAGTATGCCACGTATCTGAAGATATGGATTTTCCAAGAGCTTTTCATTGTTGCTCTGCACAGAGGAAACATGGCAGTGAGAAGCTAGCTGCTATATTATAAGCTCTTCCAAGTTCCAACAGGGAATTGTAAACTATCTTTTTTATCCATACGTCTGTGACATGCTTAGGTGATAAGTTTCCTTATAGCCATCTCCTTTAAAACCTTAGCAGTTAAAATTTGTCAACCGTATATCATGACCTTTACGAAGAGAACTAAATGGGACAATTGGAGATTCCAAAACCAGCTCCCAAGCATGTTAATCAGCAATACAAACACAAATACAAGGATGAGCAGTCGCTAGAGATAATCTCTTTATAATAAGTATAGGGCAAAGTTGGTTTCAGAATAAGGCTTAGTCTGTACGAAATATTACACGCCCGTGACTCTTCTGACAAGGAATATAAATCCAGTAGTTGAATGCTACATAGTTTCTTATCAGGCTGCCTAAAGCTATCATACTTTCGACCTATGTTATCTAAAACATAACTTTACAATGAGATATTGCTCCTACAAAGAAAACAATCCTCAATAACCTATAGTCCTATACTCTAACGTTTCTATAAAAGTTTCTATATTTCAATCACCATATCCAAGTCACGACAATATGATAATATCTATGCAAAATATGACCTATTATCTTTTTCAGGAATCATATTGAGAATGTGTGACGGCATGTACAATACTAAAACAAGGCCCACCTGCTGAGCTCTAACAACAAGATTCTGAAGCATGTGCTGGTACTTTTCAGGTTTTTCTGACATCATTCGCTATAAAACACAAATTAAAATTGTTAGCAGGACAAACTTCACCACATATTCAGTACAGTGTAATTTGTTTGTGGGAAGAGGAGAAAAAGCATTCTTGCCTTCAGAAGAAAAGCTGATGAGTAATATGCCACCCTCGAGTCTGTATCATCCAAGAGTTCCCTGAATTTATAACTTAAAAATGAATCATATATCATATATATGCACACACAACAAAATAAAAAGCAGAAATATATATAAAAGAAAAAAAGAAAAAAAAGGGAAGCTCATCCAATGGTAGCATGAATTGAAGAATCACCTAAAAAATTCTTCCCCGCCAACTTCCTGGAAAGTAGCAGGATCTGCAGTACATTTACCAATTAGAAGTAACAAAAGCGTAGCCCGTATATCAGATGTTGCACCAGGAAGGTTCCCTCTTCCTTTGCTTCCAACAGCTATACCCAACGCAATGTTGTCTGTTGCTGCACCAGCAAGTTGAATCAATGGCCAATAAAACAATGCAGCTGGAACTCGTGTGACCAACTGCATGGGAACTATGGCCTGTCCTCGGAGAAGAAGTGCTGCCATTGATTCTGTCTCATGATCTAGAGGATTGTTATTTCCGAGGCCAGATCTGCCACTGGATTCTTCCATACAAACATCCTGGTGAGAACTCTCTTTCTCGTCAACTATTTTATTTCCGTCCATCCGTCTAAGAACCCTACCAAGCTGTGCATCATCTCCAAAGTTTGTTGTATTTGCAGATGGAGCTCTCAAGCATAATTGAGAGAATAGAATGTCACACATCTGTTTACAGAAACCAAGGAAAAATAGGGGATAAGGAAAATATACCCTCTACTAAAAAAAAAAATCGCACAAGTGAATTCCATAAAATCATGAAACATACATGAATCCTTGGGGGAAAATGAGAATGCACTTTGCAGCAACTCAAAGCAAATTCTCCAATACTATTTAGAAAAACAGATTTGCACTAGATGTACTCAATTTGATTTTTCATTTATTTGTTCTTACATAAAATTCTACCGGTCAAAATTCCCAGCCAGTAAATCCCTTATATAAGAATGTATCACGTCACGACACTCAGCCTTATCAATATTACACTAATAATATTTATCGATAAGGTCAAGAAACATTCAATACATACCAAATATGATTTTGTGCAGACAAAACATGTTACATTGACCCTGCAGCAAGACTAAGTGGAGAAATACTCCAGTCCCTACACCATTCAGAAGTGGTACACCTTATGTTTTTTTTCAAACAATCAAAATCAAAGGTAACATTCAGAGTCCGTCGGTTAAAAGCCATATAATTAAAGCATATGTGGGTAATAGTTTCCTAAATTTAGTAAAGAGATTTTCTGGTTCTTAAGAAAATTACCTTCAAAATATTAATGCGATCTGTTTCATTGATCTGAAAAACCAAGGACAAGGCACTACTCATGATGTCTATCACTGCACTAGCTTTCTCGAGACGGTTATCTCTCCGTACATTGCCAATATCACTGCCATGTTTCTGGACTTTATTTTCATTTAACAAAATCTTACACCTCATAAGAAGCCTTTCAAGAACATACAAAAAGCCCCATCTGATTGAGTTGTGCTTTGACTTCAAAAGCCCACACATAAGCCAAATGGGCAAAGGAACATCTGAAGCAACTGAAGAATCATGAACACCGGCACGGGCAATTTTCTGCTGCATGTTTTTTATATTTGACAAAATACTTGAATTCCCTTCCTCACTAATTTCTGCAATAAGCAGGTCACTTAACCAGACATACGCATTCCGATGGTAAGCAATTCTTTCTGAATGAAGAAGGGAATGTAAAAGAGCCCATGAGAGTTTTGCTTTCATGCCAACTCCATTTCTCAGAACGGCACCTTCAATGCTATCCAGAGACTTGTAAGATTTGGTTATCTGCATCATGTGTGAGAACTCTGTGTCCAAATGAGTAAATGAGCTTACTGTTGCACCAAGTTTCTCCATTACACTGTCCAACAGCTGTAAAGTTAAAACAAAATTCAGATAGCAGCAACTTTGATAAATTCATTAAATTGTTGCAATTAACTGACTTATCCAAATCAAAAGAAAATATGGAACCGAAAAAAACTTTCCAATAATTTCTGAAACTGGCAAAAAACTCCATTAAACAAAAATGTGAAAAAATTGAAAGAACATGGCCTACCCACAGCGCATGCACAAATACATTTTTTGGGAACGAACAAACAAAACATGCACATGGACTCACACCAATCACGCACACAAACTTTTGAGACATTACCATATTGAGCCGTTCACTGTTCGGATATCTAGATAATGCATCTGAAATAGAACTCTTCAAAATTTCCCCAATGCCTACCAACCCAAGCTTAACAGATATATAGAAAGCTTCAGGCGCATCAGCTCGATTGAGAAGGGCAACAAGAGGCTGAATCTCGTCATCGCTATACTCAGTGACTCCAGTAGCTATGAATATTTCATTTATTTGATGCAAAGCATGGTCCAAAAGAACCAAAAACAGATTTCTCCTTTCCTCCCTTGATTTTGCAAGTGAATACTGTATTGCAAAATAGTTATAGTTTGGAATCAGGAAACTTTTTTTTCATAAAAAGAAACCTTCAATGCAAAAGCACTAATAGATTAGTTGCATTAATAATAAATAAACATTTAAGTAAAGCTTATCTCTAATAACAGGTCTGTCTCCATCTTCTAGTAAGTATACGGATTTGAGTGTCTGCTAGTTCTTTGCCTACTAAAGTGATGTTTAAGATCATCAAACTTGCTTTCCCGTCCCCAAATATTAACAATAAGCACATACCAAGTGTTACAATATTAGACAAACACTTTACAAGTCACAGACGATAACAGGATTGTGATTACCAGAGGTCTTAGCTAAATGCTAGGAATCAACTAACAACCCAAATTTCTAATAAAGCTAATCTTCAGAGTTCAGATAAAAAAGAAACGCAAAAAAAAAATCAACAAACCTTACTATTTATTCCAGTTTCATAGTAAATTATTAGCATACCTCAACAAAAATAAACTCTATTCCACCAATCAGATCAACTTGCTCCACCAGAAACAATTGGGTACTTGAAACAGCATTGTTGGTTCCTTCAGGTACTTGATAAAACATGTTTGCTAACATGCTAATAAGCTTGCAATGAACTACTTCTGCCCAAGAATTTTTCCTGCTAATTTCTAGAAGTGCCTTTATAACCTGACAGTAGGAAGTAGAATTAAAACCAACATTAAACTCACTGATATGATAGAAAAGGAATATTAAGTGAATTTTTAGATTATAGCATTATTTGGTACAAACTGGATACATAAGGTTTATTCACACATTAGCCTTGTATCTTATGAAAAAGATGGTAATATAAAAATTAAACAAAAATTATAGGAAAGGTTTCTGATAAAAACTTGTCAAACATTTCCAATGATTACAGCATTGATATACAAAACTTCAAAATATCTCACCCTTATGTCAAGTCCATTTATCCGGTTTCTCAAGATTTTGCCTCTATCACAGACAAAATATAGCAAACAGCTAAGAGCAGAAGCCCAGACAGATTCTTCCTCCTCTTCTATCTGAACAAAAGATAAGAGACTAGTTGGTAAAGAATGATGGAAAAATTTCCACGATATCGAAACTAAAACATTTAACAGAAAAATAGTATAGTTAAAAACTTAAAAAGTGTCCTAACATGCTTGTTTGGGTGGAAAGAAACTACAGATTTTTTTAAGATAAGAAGGTGGTGGATTTTAATTGGAAAAGTAGAAGTTTGCACTCTTTGAGGTTTATTTGTCTAAACATATCGGGAAACATTCAATTTAGATTAATTATTTTAACCGGTTTTGAAATATATTTTCTAATGCTTTAACTGTAACTTTTTAGTTGAACATTAATGGACAGCTTGTCAGAAAAATAACATGCATCCAACATGAAAGTTATATAATGAATATGACAGAAAATATACCTGAACAAGAAACAGCAATATCTCATACAAAATATTCAAAATCCAAGTTTCAAAATTATCAATTGCTGAGGAAGTGCCCATCATAACAGAATCTGATCTTCTCACTCCTTGTGTTGCAAGCATAGATTCACTGTCAAAATATGATTCTTGAGAATACTCTTCTTCAATCGTGGAATCGTTATCGGTTACCATTGGCTCTAATAAATGAGCATGAACTCCAAGGTTCAAAATCAAGTCAAAAGCACGATTCCTACATGTTGCTCTTGGAGAATTAAGCATTTCCTGAAAGAAAATATAAAAAAAATTGTAACCTAATGAAAGAAAGAGGAGAAGGAGGAGGGGCGCGGGGGGAAGAAAAATGGATAATCTAATAATGAAATATTAGCGTGTAGTTGACTATCACCTTAAGCATAGACAGAGTGAGAGGGGCAGCAGTCCCGGAATCCAAGACATACCTACAAAATGAGGTTTTCAACATACAATGAGGCAGCAAAAGACAGGGAATGTGAACTGTAATAAATACTGGCCAAATGCATGACAACATACATGTCAATAACAAGTTTGATAAGGACGCTCACTGCCGCATCCATAGATGGCTTTCCATAGTTATTAGTTAATCTAGATGATACTGTCCTCACATTAGCATTCTGCAAAGATGCCTCAGAGCAAACTGCAGCAATGACCTCACAAACCTCAGCAGGATTCAACCGCAAGGGTTGTTGTTCACTGATAAACAACCAAAATATGGTGAGAGAGAGAGAGAGAGAGTAAGATAACGAACAACATAATTGATTATTTGTTACCTGTAGTGACGATACTGGAATAGCGGTTTAGCCCGAGGACGAAATGTGCTCACCGGAGAATCATCCCTGAAATTTGGATGTACAATGTCAAAATAGCAGTTGTGTCAATATTGTACCAAAGTTTTAGTATCCGATGACATAGGACTAATGAGTACAGGTTTAACAAATATGCCTCAGAAAACAGGGAATAGGAAGGGATTATTTTAAAATGTAAATCCCTGGTGGTAATAGAAATATCTGCAAAAGGCAGTGAATTTAAACGAAATATCTTCGAAGTTTTTTTTTTCAGTCATAGAAACATGATTCTGTTCTGTCGTAATATTCAGAACTATGTGCCACAAAAATTGAAGAACCAAATTCCTACACTACATTTTATAAAATGCTGTAACATAGTTGACCAAGATGTAACAACAGTTGAACAAGAGGTAAGAGCGTACCATATTTGATGAGGGCCGGATTTAGTACGCTTAGAAGCTGTGATTGCTCTCAAATGGGAACGGGCAGCAGCAGAATCAGTAATCGCCGTTACTGGGGAAGGTTGCAACAGTTGATCAAGATAAGGCATATCAGCAGTTCCAAAATACTTCCAAGGTTGACCTTTCATTTTAGATTCCTTATCTCCTACAAGTAGAGCTGCGGCACCTACTTCTAGAAGACTATGCATTCTCGTATCTTGGGGATTTACAACACGATCACTTGATAGTGGAACATGTCAAGCAGTCAAGTTAGTATATTAAGCAAGAGGAAAAATATGAGATATTGACCAAATAAAATTGTAAACTACAAAGAAATCAACCACCAGAGATAAGAAGGTAAACACAAGTATATGTAATTACCTTTCAGTCCCTAAGGATGATGACTGCTGTTCCCCAAGCCAGCGCCACTTGAAAACGTCAAGCGCAAAGTATTCAACATCTCCCATTCCATCAACCTTTCCAATGTTTGATAAGTTCAAAACAGACATGGTTGTGGCATCTTTACTCTCCAAAGGTTCTCCACTATGTGCAGGGCTTAGTTGTGAATTAAAGGACCTACTCAACAAAGAAGACAAACTCGGAAGAGACTGTCTTGTTGCAGAAAGAGCTCCAGAGGAAGCAGCAGGATGGAATGACCGCTTTGGAAGATGTTGAGACACAAGAGACCTCACATAGTTCAATGACTTCACAAGTGCCCCAGACGCAAAACTAGGTACAGATAAAGGAACTACATTTGTAGATGCCGTTGATATTGTTGATGTTATTGATCCAAACGATTGCGACCGTGGAGACAATCTCCGGTTTGGACCAATGTCGCATTCAACAATGGTGTTTACACAAAAGCGATCTATCTGCAGTAATGTCTCTTCACTAGGTTTGTACCTACAGAGAGTAAAAAAATGTATAGCCCTATTGATCAAAATTGCAAGAAACTATCCGGGTAGGAAAGATGTTTCTCCCTCATTTCAGACCATAGAATGTGCATCCAGTGTAAGGGCCTACTAGGTAACTTTAACGACAACATAAAATATATTCAAATCAGTGTCAGTATGGCAAGTCTCAAGCCACTGTTAAAATAAATTGTAACGCAGTAAATGGAAGGCAAGAAATTAAATATACACAAATGAGGATAACTTGTGCCCAGAGTGTGATATAAATCATTTCTCTAAACGGCAACTTATTTATTTTAATTTCAATGAAACCAGTGCAGGTTTCTCCTCATAGATTAGTATCCTACATTATCTTCTTTCCCAATGCTTAGGCTTTGATAGGAGGTTGAAGAAAATCAGGCATATCAGTCCCTACACTACACGTTTAGTCACCAATGACACCTTCTAAATGAAGGAAATTACAACAATGACCACTGGAAGGATTATGAACAAATAGAAAACAACGAAGCCCATTTCAAACAAAAAAATAATAATTCAACGATAGAATAATAAGCGTTGCAGGCAACTAGAAGAAATGAGTACAGGCTGTACAGCTGTGACATAAACAACTCATACATCAAGTTATTAGAATAATTAAAGATCTCATGATACAAAGAACATACCTTAGAAGGTAGCGTTTCAAAAGTGCCACACACCTTGCAACAACTGCTGGGCTGGCATAAATAAAAGTAACATCAGGTAAAAGGATAACACATATTGTCCCTTAAATCATGTTAAATGAAAATGATAATGGAGATAATTTACATGCACTTCTAAAACGCTAAATGTACATACACATACAGACAGAGACATATTTCTGAAAATGTCTAAAAGGTCCAGTACTCCAGTGTACCACTCTGCTTCTAATCTCCCAAAATATTCCTTGTGTATGTTAATCAAATAGTTATTATAATTCTATGCTATACATATCTGCTATCACCTTTTTTTATTTGTTTGATTTAAAATGCTCATTTCTTTTTTGTATTCCATATGCATACTTATTTACCATTAACTAGAAGCAATAAATGTTTACTCCTCACCTTCTACAGAGCTCTTATGAGTATCAAATATATTTCTATACACAACTTACTGGCAGTTATAATGGTTTGCTGTTACAAGTGTTCCCAAATTTACCCCCTTTCATTACTTTTGATTAATAGGTTGAACTATATTTTATGGCCCATTCAATCTTGTGATGCAAATCTGGGAAGCACACAGCCAAAACTAGATTTCTTCTAAACAATCACCAAAGCTGGGTTCTATATTTTGAAATTAATCGCCAAAGCTGGTTTTTTACACCAATTATACCACGCTTGTTATTGTTACTGAAATGTGTGAAGCACAAGTTTCTTCTTTTGTTTTGGTTAGATAGAAACTTGAACCTAGGATCTCTACCCTCTTCTCAGCCATCCCATGTCACTAGAGCTAAGGATAATGGACAAGTATTTAAGTTAAAGTAAGAAATAGAAAACCTACAAGAGCATATACAAGATTTACCTTCGCTCCCTCTCGGCAATGGTATGTTCTAAAATCACATTGTAAGACAAGTCCATCGTCGAAGGGGCTGCCAGATAGTCCTGCCAATCATAATAAGTTGAACTTGTGAAATATGAAACTGAATCTCATTCAAGTCAATCAAATAACAGGATACAGAGCACTGTTAAAAACTTCTCAATCATATGTCAGATACACTCATGTGTGGATAATTGAATAATTGCAACCAACCAGAAGAGCAATAAAATCTTGACATGTTATTCTACTTCAAGCCAAGACCGCCAGTGAAATCTAAATATGCTCCCTAACCAGTAAATTCGAAAATCGGCAATAAAATTCCATTTCAACTTGCCCCCAATATGTATAGTTAAAGAGAGAACCACTCAGAAGAAAGACTCTTTTGAGTGCCAACTGAACAACAAATTTATAATAAACGCCAAATTAATTCAGCCACTTGTAACCTTGTACAAAGAGCTTATATCACCTTGCATGCAATTGTTTTAAACCATTAGATTTTTAGGTGGACACTTGGAGCTTAAAAACAGTTGCTCGCCTGAGGACGACTATAATTAAAGAAGCCTTTTCTTTTGAATTTAAATATGAAGTGATCCAAGCAAGGACATTTTTTATTTAAGACCAATCACAGAGCAGGGAAACCACATTAAATACTCCCTCCAGGCTCCAATGCAAACTCAAAACGTAAACACACACACACACTACGAATAACCATTTTCAGCACTCGTGCTCTGTTCGTTGCTAACTGCTAAGAGAATGTAGCAAAGCTAAAAACACCCCAAGCAAAATCTACAATGTGTATGATTTTGAACTAGCTAAAGCCAAAACCTTATACCCACTAAACGAGAATTCAGCTTAATTATCTATCTTTTAAGCCATAAAACTCACTAATAAGTTGCCTTTTACTCACAAAGAACAGTTTTTTTTTCCTCTTCTTTTCTTTCCTAGTGATTTTCTCAGCAATCAAACAGAGTTCAAATCTCGAATTCATGCAAAATCCACCAATTAAAACAAAAATCACACACACAACCAGGAAGACCTAGATTCCAGAGCATAAACCGGCATTTCAAAGATCCAAATATCTCCTAGCAAAATCACAAACCAAACAGAAAAAAAGCAAGAGAATTTCCACTCACCCGAAGAATTCGAGAAGCTTCGGAGAGGAGCACAGTGGAGGAAGTGGTTCCATGGTGGGAGGTAGCCGTGGCGGAGGAGGACAGGCAGTCGGCCACAGCTCGCCGCAGCGGCTCCGGCGGCTTCTTGAGCGACGAAGATCTCAACCTGGAGATTCCTCCTCCTCCTCCTCCTCCACCTGCACCTCCGCCCAACTGAAGCCTCGAAGTCCCGGGGCTCCGAACCGGACTGTTGTAGCCGGAAGACATCGGGTGCTCGGGTCGGGTCGCCACCCGAATCTCTCAGAATTTCACTTCGCACGGCGGAAGAAAAACTTGGTCCTCTTGCTCTGTGGAGAGCTCCACTCTTACATTTGAGCAAAATCTAAAAAAAATAATAAAAACAATAAAACTGTTCGTTTTCTTTTTCGTTTGTGTTGTGCTCCAAATGTAAACCAAGTCTGCCAGAGAGAGAGAGAGAGATTGGGAAAATTGTTATGTATTTATTTATTTATTTATTTTTGAATTACGGATTAACTAATTAAATATTATTTTTTTGGTAGATTCTTAAATATCGGTGTAATGCGGTGATTAGCTGGAGGAAAGGCGTAGTTTTATGAGGCGTGATTAGCTGGCATGCGCTAGAATTTGTCCCTTTTTCTTCCAGAAAAAAAAAAAAAAAAAAAAAAAAGATATTTGGGAATAAAAAGGGGTATGGGTGGAGAGAGAGAGAGGAGAGAGGGGGTGAGAATTTTTTTTCTTCAGGATTTGTGTTTTATTTTATTTTCAAGTTTTTGTTTTGGTTTTTCTGTTAAATTTGATTTCCCGCTCTCATCATGAATTCTTTTGGACAAAGTATTGAGTATGTAAGCAAATGGTAGTGTGGAAAATGCAGTAAATGCATCCGTTGAAGGAAATAAATTGTGACACTAGCGTTGGTCTGGCACATCTTTGGAAAGACTAAACGCGTTTTCAGACAACCAAAAGCATGTTGTGGCCACGTTTAAAAGGCTATATACGTTTTTTTCACAATCAAAAACTCTTCTGGAATTCTTTGGAAGGTTATGCACGTTTTCACACAACCATGGCATTCTTTGCACATCTAATGCGCTTTCTGACAACATAAAGCTTTTTTAGGCAACGTTTAAAAAGACATACATGTTTTCACACAACCAAGAGCCTTTGTAGAAATCTTTACAAGGTTAGACACGTTTTTACACACCCAAGAGCCTTTCTAGCAATATTTAGTGCGATTATCCACATCAATCAATGCTAAAATAACTAAAAAATTGTTTAGCAGTACCTTATAGCATTAAGTTATTTTGTCTAGGGAAAATGATTAAAAAGAGTTACAAGGCTATGAAGTATCAAATGGGGATTCCGCTTACTCAAGGGGGTGGATGACGATATGGAATAAATGACCCTAACCATCCCATGTACCATTCTACTTATGAGTACAAGTAATTCCTACAAAACTTGATCACGAACAAATTTCAGACTTTTTAGAAAAGCCTACTAGTTAACTAGTTAATTTATGGTTTGATTTTTCACCTTTGGGTTAACTAAATGGAAGGAAATATTTTGAATTATAACCTTTTTTAGAAATAATTTTTTACTTATAACATTGAAAATATGTTTTGACCTAAAAGAAATTAGATCCCCTACAAATACAAGAATAAAATTCTTTTTTGGGAGGTGGTCAACATATATGCACTGGTTTGATACTGATGTGTTTTTATAAAAAGTGAGTATAAAAAAAAAGTTAAGCTCAAAAAGGTATTTGGTAAAAATTTAAAAACAGCTTATTTTCACAGTTTTGGGTGAAAAAAAAAAAACTGAAAATGTGAAGCAGCAAAAATGAGCTTGGAAAAAAAGCTGAAAATGTGAAGTAGCATAAACGTTGGACTATGATTTATTGTTAAATGTTGGATTATATGTTTAAGATAAAATTTGTAAATATTTTTCTTTTAAAAATAAAGTATATTTAGTAATTCACCTTTATTTGTTAAGAAAATTAAATTAATGACACATCTAGTATTATACATTTTTTGGTCATTTCACACAGTCACAACTGTTTTGGATAAAAGTTTACCAAATACTATAATACTGCTTTTTTTTTCTTTCCCAAAAGTACTTTTACAAAAAAGTTTACTAAACACTCTACTGCTTTATTTCACATCTTCTTATTCTCATAACACAGCAGAATCAGATTTTTTTCAAAGCACAGCAATACCAAACCAGCCCATAGTATGACGAGAAGAAGTAGCAACAGCACGTTGGGCCAAGATTTATTGAATCCAACCTAAAATAACCATTGGGCCAAAAAGCCCACATGCCTGTCCGACCCATAAACCTACAGCCGGGATCTACTGCCAGCATTATTCGCGCGGATCTCATCGACAACATCAGACAACAAGTCCTTGCGAATCTGAGCGTACACGTGTCCGTTCCATTTCCGCGCGACCAACTCCTCCCCAAGTATAACCGCGGCCTCAACGGTTTCCTCGGCGCTATCGTGCGCCGAGTCGATAATCCCCTTCGCCACAGCCACGTCGGCTTTCACCCTATCGGCTCTGAGCAACAAGTCGCGCCGAGCCGCCGGCGAGCCGACCTTGCTCTCGATAAGTGCCAAGAACCAACGCGGCAGAAGGAGCTCGATGTCGAGCTCGCTCATGCAGATGAAGCCGCGGTCCCGCCTCATGAGGAGGTAGTCGTGGCTGAGAGCGAGGGTGAAGCCGGCGGCGGAGGCGTGGCCGGAGACGGCGGCGATCGTGGGCATCGGGAGGGAGATGAGGTCGGCAACGAGGGACTGGAGCTTGGAGTCCATGAGCTCCAAGCGGGATTGAGAGGACTGGGCCCAGGAGAGATCGTAGCCGTTGGAGAAGAATTTGCCATGTGCGGTGGTGATTAGGGCCGAGGGCGATGATGACGTGGCGGTGGTGGTGACGGCGGCTCGGATTTGGTTGAGAGCGGATCGGATTGAGTCGATGAGAGTGGGGTTGAGCCTGTGCTCGCCCGGGCCTGTTAGCGTTAGGATGAAGATGTTGCCTTTCCTCTCTAACGTGCACATCTCTCTTTCTCTAGAAAATCTCCTCTCACTCTCTCGTAGGGTTTGAAGTTTCGGATTTGGCCAAGGTCGAAGAAATATAAAGCTGCGGGCTTGAGCTTAGAATGGTCGATTGAAGCCGGCATTTTTCTGGAACGACTATGACAATCAAACGCTTGTTGTGGCCACGTTTAGAAGGCTATCTACGTTTTTTCACTATCGAAAACTCTTAAGTAAATCATTTGGAAGGTTATGCACGTTTTCAGACAACCATGGTATTATTTGGACAGCTTACGTGCTTTCAGGCAATAAAAAGCTTTTTACGGCAACGTTTCAAAGGATGTACACGTTTTCACACAACCAACGATTTTTAAGTTCTTATAAAGTTTCATTTTCGCACGACAGGTGTGTCATTATGACAGTATCTCAAGCTAACTTTGCATTTTCATATAAAAACTAAAGATATAATAGTGAGTGATTCAGTTTGAAATATCACCACGATGAAGGACTCATTGAAAGCCCAGTATATCCCCTACTCACACCCAATTTAGAGTCCAAAGGAAAGACATCAAATCCATTTAAAGGTCGTGCATTTTATACATGATTTTGAAGGAAGAGATTCCTGCATCAACTACAAAACAGAGTAAATTAATACAAGTCTTAAATCAACCCAAATCAGAGTAGAAACGAGACACGTGGCTGAAAGTTAGGATAAGTAAATCCATAATTACTGCAGTGTAACTTGAGAAGCAAATCCTACACGTGAAACTTCCTACTCATTACTCATTAGGTGGTCAAATACTCAATACCTACGTAGGCCGCGACCGTATATCATCAGGGCTTAAGGGCACTCATAGGCTTGGACCCCTTCCACGGTTCCACCACAATTGTTGCAGATGACAATCGATACGCACTCTCGGCAGATATGGCCTAGCATCCCACAAGTACGGCACATGATGTCACGGAAAGGGCCTCTGATGTCCGGTGTTAGGCTTGACTTAGCGCAATGGCAGGCTACGTGGCCTGATATGTTGCTAGTGTGGCGAACAGGTTCTTTGGGGCAGTCACGAGCAAGGTGACTGGGTTTCCGACAGTTGTTGCAGGCTTTCTCATTTGTGCAATCGACTGCAATATGACCCGGCCTGTAGCAATCGTTGCAGAGCCTTGCATCGCGGGATGACCTTTATTACCGCACATATGGCAGACTGGACCACTGGAACATTGGTTTGCAAGATGTCCAGGCTCCTTGCAGTTCCAACACGTAGTTGTTGAGTTGTATTCAGCAGCAATGTGGCTGATAAAACATATAGCATTTGAATATTAAAAACACTTTCACCGGAGAAAATCAGGATTTGCGGTCCTCCATTCAACCTGTTTTCTATAGCTCTAAACCTTAAACGGAAAGTCCGCAGTTGTTGCAGATAGTCATATTCGGGCAATATCTTGCAAAATGCCCTGGCCGTTTACATTTATTGCAGAGATTATCTTGCCCCAAAAAATAACTGAATAATCATTTTGACATGAAATTGAAGGTGAAGCAGCAAAAGACTATATCAGTTTTGAATCTTTGATAAACATATGGAGTCCAAATACCACGAAGTTTGGTAGCGATATACATGATTAGCTATCGAATTATTATCAGAAAGGACGACTCAGCCAGTGAAAATTAAAGTCAACTTGAACAGTTTAAACAAAATTTCTTTGAGTATTCAAATGTCACACAGTAAACACTGGATAGATCCTGAGGAGAGTTGATGAAAATCCAGGTAAAACGATCATTTATGTAGTAGGTTATCACATCATTATAAACAACACCAAGCGCAAAATGAGACGAAGCTTGGAAGTACCTAACACCTTAGTAATATTCAGTACTTATTTTTTCAAATTCAATCGCATCCTGCCTCGTAAATTTGCTAACTCTAACATGTTGTGATGGCAGCCCTATATCTCCATTTCGATTTCTTGTCTAGCAAGTCATCTGCCTCAGTAACTGTATGGATACTTTTATAATTTAACACGTCAAACACTCTACATACTAAAATCATGAACATCCGGTGTACTTCCAGAAAAAAAAAAATAACAGATCATAGAAAAAACAAAAAAACTTTACCCAAGCTCATACCAACACAAGGGATGGCTGCAGAAATTCATCTCAAGTTGCTTTACGAGTACCATAAGAGCGAGAAAAGACAAAAGCAAATTGAGCATGCTGGAAACAAAGGTTAGAACGTTCGATGAGGTACCTATAACTGCGACGTTTCCTAGGATATGGAGCATCACGGTAAGATGCGCTCTCTCTGGTATCTCTTGGCTCGTTCTGGGCTTTGACTTGTACTCAAGACTCATGTTGGAGACCACCACGCAAAACCTTCAACGAAATATCTTTATGAGAGAAAAGAACCGATACAAGAACCAGCAACCGAGAGCTGCAACCTGCCTGCCAGAAGAACCAGCGATCGACTTAATTCCTGAAAATTCAATGCCATAGCGATTTCCTCAAAACTCAACAGCAAAGATATACAATAGACATGGATGTTTATATGCGTAAGGGAAAGAGTGATCACCTAGTTCGTGTGAGGTAAACGTTGAGATGCAAAAGAAGAAGAAGACGAAGAGGAAACCCTAGATTGTAGAATTTGGGGATTTGAAAGCAGAGAGAGCAGAGCTTATTTATTGCTTCATCTCACGACGAGGATGATCATAATTTGTACAACGACGCAGTTTACCGCCCAGGCGTATATTTGGCCGAACTAAGGCTGCGTTTGGCTTTGTGTTTGCAAATTGCCACTTCGCCAAAAAGCCAATAAGCTTATCTCTTCTGATTTTTTAATAAGCAATGGCCAACGAGTTAAAGGATAACATGGCAGACATTTCACATTCGAAGTTTTTTTCTTTCTCACCACATTCAAGTGATGGTAACGTTACCACCTTATTTATCACCGTTGAATGAATCTAAATTTCAAGATATGTGGAATGAAGAGACGCAAATCTCAAAATCTAAAAACTTCGCAGATATGCTGCTGAACGTAACCACCATGCAGCCGAAATAACACTTTCAGATGAACATATTTATATTATATATACACCAGGTTACGACAATAATTATTTCAGATGAACACATACTGTGTTACTACGAAAAGCAGAGTACATTATAAGCACTTCAAGATGAAAATACAACGTACAGAGAACATACATGTTCGAAATTTTAAGAAAACACAAGTTACTCAGTAAGGACGGCAACCCTTGTGGCAAAAGCTAAAACATAGTTCGGCAGTCTCACAGTAGTGCGCCTGAGTACATGACCGCGAACTTCCTCCTAAAATAGTCAGTAGTGATTCTACACTCCTCGAGTGCAGATAACTATAACTATTTGGACGGAACTGCTGTACAGCGCACTTACAAGATGGAAAGAGTGCGATCCTCGAAAGGGGAGTGAATGTAACAGCTCACCAGCCCATGAGGGTTCTTCTAACTCTCTCTACAATATTACTTCTATTTTGTTTGCTTGCCAATGGAAATTCACGACTATCATCCAAAAGAAATCGGTAGATTTCCCACTGGCAAACTGAAGTTGAATGCCTTACAATTTCAGCCTGCATGCCAACAATGAAATAATGAGAGAAAGCGAAGGGGCATGCCACAAAAAGATAGGAAACTCACATCAAATTCTTACCGCAAAAATAGATGCTCCCAATTGCTTCAGTGCTAGAGTAACATCATAGAATACAAGGGGCCTCCCCTTTCCAGATAACTCAACTGGATTAGCAACTAAGAGTTCAGTTTCCGGGCCCCTGTTGGCAACGATCACTCGCAGTGGGTGAACCATCTCCTCCTTTAAACGAGCACACAATGCAACCTGAACTTCAGGATCAACAATCTTTTTTCCATTTGTCTGCTGAATAAATAGGTCCAAATTTCGGAAGCCTTTCACAGGTGACGAGAATCTACCATAGGCAATCTAAATGAGAAACAACAGAGACTTGCATCATTAAACTGCTAATTGCAATATAAATCAGTATTCTAAGTAGTGAAACACAAAAGTCATATCCAATGGGAGTTATGAACACTAAAAAGGAAAACCGAAGATTCTTTTTATTAAATACCTACAGGTGCAGGTACCAAACATGGTACTCCGGAAATATATATATGAAAGTGCCTGTCTGACTGAAATCTGTCCTGGTATATTGAGGCAGCCCAAATTTTCAGACAACAGAATTTAAAGACATCTTGAAAAAGTACCTGAATATTGCAGTCCTTGGAAGTCCTCATAATGTCATAAAAGAGGCCCTTCCGGTCAACACACTGTATTTGCAGCACCGTATGAACAGGGCTCAATGAATTATCCACTGTAATACTGGTCTTTTTCACCGTTCTCATATTTCGGGTGAGAGCTTTTGGATAAGCCTCCTCCTCCTTCAGCTGATAGCTAAACAATTCGTCAGCAAGGGCTGGTGGAAGAGAAGAATTCCCCTGCAGGCTTTCATACTCAGGCCCAGGCAACTTAAGCTCACAGGTGATGCAATACTCTCCTAAAGCAGCCATCAGATGCTCACATATGTCGTCTCTCCTCTGTTTTGTGTGTAATAACTCCCTAAAAGTATATGGTACCAAATAAGGGTGGTTGACACTGTATAACCAACACTTAAGAGCAATTACTACTTCACATTAAGTACTTTCTGAAAGTGGTCTTATGATGTGAATGCCGGGGAACATATTAAACTCAAATGAATCTCCCCAAGTTTGGTAAGAATGATATCCAAAATCCAAAGTACAAACGGAAGAAATGCCAACAGCGAACCCAAAATACACGTGCAGTTCTCCCAGTTAAGAGCATCTCCAACCGAGACGTCAGATGCCATAGTGGACGAAAAGCGGCAACCTTTGGCAGAAAACTACTCCCACCGATCAGCAAAAGCTGATGTGGATTAAGAGAGGAAGATTGCGCCGGCAAATTTGACGCCAAAAAGAAAAGGGACAACATTTCATTGTTTTGGATTGTTTACTGGGGCATTAGTGCACTTTCCCTTGCTAGCGTGGGTTACTTTAATATCAAACTATGTAATAAAGAAGATAAAAAAGCAAAAGTAAAAGGTATACAATAATAAATTTTGACAATCAGGTGGAGTATGGAGTTATGTAATATCCAAATTGCCACATAAGCCATCAAATTCAAACTTAACGTTATTTGATCAACAATACAACAGGATCAGACACTTCGTCCAACACATTGCCAAACGAATTCATCTAGATCCCTTTTACACTAAGGGAAAAACTCAAAAGGGTCATAAACCAACAGGAAGAAATTGGCAGCTTTTTCCGATGTCTCTGAGAATAATTAGCAATCCAGACAACCATTCAACAGCGATCGCTGACGCCTAAATCTCATGCATACTTTGATAGCACTAAAAGTGGATATTTCACAATTATTATATCTAAAATTAATAACTACAACACCGATACGCAATTTTCAAAAGGCATGCGAAAAACTCACAAGCAATCTGTGATGAAGAAGAGATCCAAAACCCTGCCATCCGGGGTCGGCATCACTTTCACTCTCTGAATCAAAATTTCAAGCTCACATAGCACTTTGGTAACATCTACATTTACACAAAAAGCAACAATAACTTATTCATTATTCAACCACACAAACAAAACAAACAATAACCGAAAATAAAAGCGAAAACCCAATAAAAATTAACGAAAAAGCTGAGATTTTAACCGTGGAGTGAGCCTCTCTGGTTGTGGCACCAAAACTTCAACAGATAGACCGGAGAGGGCGTGGGGACGTTGGAGATTTGATTGACGTAAAACGAGAAGAAGCACGACGACGGGCACGCAGAGGAGAGCCGATCCTTCAAGCTCTCCCAATCGACCCTCAGGGATTGGTGGTGGGGGACGACCCACAACACTATATAGCACCACCTTCCATCCGTCGAGAAATCTGCAACAAAAAACACCCAAAAATTCTCAGAATCTCAAAAACCCAGGTGCCAGAATCTGAAACTGGAGATTTGAAATCACCTGCTTTCGTAATGGAAAGGCCGAACTGGAGGATGATTCTGCAGAGGTCGCAGCCGAGGCCGGCCTTGTCGGGGCAGTTGAGGGTGAGGACGGAGGGCTCGTCGGGAGTCTTCCCCGGCTGGATCACGACGACGTCGTCGCAGGGAATGCCCATGGCTGATTCCGTGTTTTTATGAATCTACCCCTGGGAATGGTTGGCCTTTGGGAGATGGCATAGGAGAGGTTGTGGCGGCCCGGCCGACTTTGGTGGGATTACACAGGGGTTAAACATTGAACTCTCGACAAAGATGGGGGCGGCTGTTGTCGGATTAGTTGTTTGGACTTACCTAATGATTGCGCCATGTCACAAGTATTTAGCGGTCACAGAGCAGCCGGGGCCCACGTAACAACATTTATGGTTTTTACCCTTTTTGGGATGATAAATTTGCATAAATGGCAACTGATTTTTCAATTTTGTCCACTTAGCTCCGAAATTAAAAGGAAATTGCAACTAAGGACGTGAACTTCAAACTGCAATTTGGCATTTAAGTCCGCTTGGATCCACATCCATCAAGTAGTGGCATGCGACGATAATGCATTACCTTTTCAAGGCCATTTATATATTTGACGAGTCTTAAAAAAGTCCCATGAGCTTCTATGTCAACGCCTATGAAGCATTAATGCATAGTCCTTTTTAAGGAACATTGATTTAAGAAATATGAACTCAAAAGAACACCGATTCAAAGGAATACCAACCAAAGGAACACAGCCCAAAAGGTCTCGGCATAACGGATTTGGAAGAATGCTCATGAGTGTTTTGGGAGCACATGGCCTCCAGATGTGTTATCAACAACAAGGCTGAGCACTTCCCCGTAAAGTACTTTCCGACTGCTAAAGAGCAAGTCGGTGCACTGATAATTTTATTACACGTCCTAAGAACAAAGAGGCAAACCTACTCATACATCAACTCCACATCATGTGGGGATTAGCTGTGTGAACAAAAGCCTACAAAAGAACATAAAGGCTGACAGAAAGGGTAGCCGGGTACGAATTTGAACCAACCCTAGAGCCAATTAAGGTGCTCGACCGCATTGTCCTAAGAAAGCATGCAAGTAAACTTGCACGAATGTCACCTCATTGCCATGATTAGCCAAAAGGCGAAGAATGAATAGCAAGTCAAATCTATGCATTCAGTGCATCAAATGCAAATGAAATAATAGGTTTGAGTCCAAAGACTAAAGGCTTAAAGAAGAGCCTACACAAGGAGGATGAGTTCCTTCAAGGGGTGGGAGGAATTAGGAGAGAACATATTTTGTTACGCTAAGCACTATTTATGACCTTATAAAATTATACTCAATGCATTCAAGAGACTACAATGAATGTAACCCTACCTTTTAGGTGAACTACTATATATCCTAGTGTTTATTCTACTAGCAATATTTTTCATCAACAAGAAGAATAAAGAACAATTTCCCAATGACCCTTAACTTAAAAATTATTTCTATTTTCTCTCCATATATTTTAATTACTAGAATCAAAATTCCTAATCTTCTTTGAATTTCTTTTGCTTCTTGAATTTTATTTGTACTTACCTCTTAAGTAGACTAGATAAGCAATGAATGAAAATAACCAATGTAAAAGATGACTTTTTTGGTAATAATAAGCCATTAAAACAATTTGCAAGCAACCATTTATCACAATAATAAAAAGATATTAAACCTTACGTGATAACATGAATTTAAATCTCATCAATGATTAATTTAATAAAACCTATCATTTAACCCAAAAAAAAAATTTAAAATAGGCAATTAACACAATTTAAAAGATTAGAGGGCACAAAGTTGAGAGAAGAAAATAAAAAGTTCACATGTCTAATCTGTACCGACAAACAGCACTTTCTCATAGAAGCACATGTTAAAAAACAGAAATGATTCAGATCGCGATTGAAAACTACAAGCCACCAACCACGGAGTGCTACTTGCAAAGTCCAAACAAACAAAGGATACTTTCAATTTCCAAACTTTAGCGACAAATTACAACCCGAATCTGAGATTCGGACCCGTTCGAAACCCGATATCCCAATTTACAAAATTACCCCCCGAATCCGTACAGGGTCCTACCCTGCCTCTTGAGAGCGTAGACGACGTCCATTGCGGTCACCGTCTTCCGCCGCGCGTGCTCGGTGTAGGTCACGGCGTCGCGGATCACATTCTCCAAGAAGATCTTAAGAACGCCTCTGGTCTCCTCGTAGATGAGGCCACTGATTCTCTTCACGCCGCCTCTTCTGGCCAGTCTCCGAATTGCCGGCTTGGTGATTCCCTGAATGTTGTCGCGGAGGACCTTACGGTGCCGTTTCGCTCCGCCCTTGCCCAGCCCCTTGCCTCCCTTTCCGCGGCCTGTCATTGTCGTGTCTTAAGGTGTCGTTTCGGAAGATAGATTTTGGTGAGAGTGGAAAGATTGTGGTGGGTTGCGATTAATGGGGAAAGTGTATTTATAGCGGGGGGCGGGTGAGGAGGTCGATCCGGGGCTTTGGGTTTGGGTGATTTTGAGACGTTGATGAACTGAAGATCGACGGTGGGAGTTGATTGGGTTATGAGTGACGCGGATCGTGGTTTTGTTTTGTGGCGGGATTTGAATCGTGGTATTTGGAAAATTTAAAAGGACTTTCCCGCTACTTTAAATTGCTTGCCAAATATTGTGGCGGTGGGCCTAAAAATTTCGTGTATTATAGAAACCTTCTAAATTCGTTTGAAATGATTAAGATGCAATGCTAGTGTGACTATGTAAGTTACTAATTATATGTTTATTTATTAGGAATTAATCAAGGGTTTCGAAATAGTATAACAAGAAGTGCTTCGGAATTAAATGCTTCGACTCAGACTCGTTCTGAAAAAGATAGCAAAAAATATTTTTGGAATAAGGAAAACCGTGGTTAAATGTAGTCCTAAACATTGATGTTTTATACTGTCTACATATGCTTTGAAGGAGAAAAACCACAGTTAAGTGTACTCTTCTATAATACACGAAATGTAATAACTGCAATACTATTAATTTGTGGTGTAATGCTAGGGAGATTGGTTTGGTTACTGTTGTTCTTAGGGCTGGTTTGATATTTATGTGCTTTAAAAAAAAACTGTTTTTGTTGTGCTGTGAAAATAAGCTCATTTTTGCTGTTTCACGTTTTCAGCTTTTTTCACCCAAAACTGTGAAAATAAGTTGTTTTTAAGTGTTTACCAAACATTTTTTTGAGCTCAGTTTTTTTATACTCACTTTTTATAAAAGCACCTAAGTACCAAACCACTAAATTTACAAACTAAATGATGTGTCACCAATAGAAAATAAGCAGGCTTATTAACATTTAAGTAATAATTAAATCATCAACTTTCATATCATTTAGTTTACAAAATTTAGTCTATAAATTTAGCTCCCTAGCATTACTCTAATTAAATTATCTATTATGTGGCTTAACCGAACTCATTCATATCATTGTATTAAAATTAAAAAAAAAATCCCATGCCTAGGAGGATATACAAGTCATATTAATGAATAACACCCTTACCCTCTTCGCACCAAAACAGCCGCGAGGTTGGATAACCAAAAGATGCGAAAGTTCGATCCATGGCCGGTGTTCTTCAAGCGCAATGGCGTAGCCATCCACAAGGCTAAGGTGGTCTGTAGTCCAGAGAGATTTTCTGTAAGGATAATGATATTCATGCATTCATTTTTACTTCTTACATATTTCTCTCGATTGTCGGTTATTCGGATCAAATGAATTGAAAATGATCACTGACAAAATATTAATAAGGCTATGTTGGAAGTAAAAATGAGTTTGTGAATAAATCTATTCTTTCGTAAAGTCATGCTTATAGCCTACTCAATTTCAATATAGATTGTTTTTTAATGTATATTTAGTAGAGGAGAAGTAGTAAATAATACGTTTTATGCTAAAAATTATAAATTAATTCTATATCCAATCCCCTTTTATCCTATTCTTTAAAGAAAAAAGATCATCTACCCTATGTAATTTAGCCTTTATGCTTCTTACTCAAGAAAAGAAACATAAGTTCTTTAAATCCACAATTAAATCCCTATCTCCAAAATTCTTAACTTTCCATTGCAATTTTCCAATGAATGTCACCTTTGGTACATTCTTAATCTCTTTATTTACTTATTCTTGATTTAATTAGTAGGTTAATTATTCATATAGTCCTTGAATTTATCGGTTAAGATTATGATTTTGAGAATAGTTTATATTATATTGTTGTTTTTTTATATTGATAATTTTATATAAGCAAAAAAATAAACATATAATTTTATAGTATTATTTTCAGCTAGCCCATCCAAGAAAAAAATCATGGCTCCGCCCTTGTTCAAGCGTGAATGGAATCAGAACTGGCCGTTCCTGGTCGGTTTCGCCATCACCGGCACGCTCATCACCAAGTTCTCTCTCGATCTTACCGGTACTCCATCCCTTCCTTTCTCTATCTATATCTCTGAATATTTACGCATCTGTAGATACACACACACACACATATGTATTTGCATATGAATATACGTTTCAGTTAGGTAGATTTTGTTTGGGTTGATTTGGAGGCTGTACAAATTTTGCAGAGGAGGACGCAAAAGATTCTCCGTTCGTGCAGAGGCATAAGAAGTACGCATCTCAAATCCCCATTCTCTTGAAAAATTTCAAACCTAATTTGAGTTAATTATAATTAATGTCTCAACCAGTCATTGATCCAAAATCTGACAATCCCTGCTAGTTAATTTGTAATTTGCTTTTTCACTGATTTTCTCAGTTGCTTGTAATGTGGATTTTGATTGGCTGATTATAGAATTTAAATGTGGTTTTTTTATTTAACAAAGAAGAAGTGTGATTATTTAGGACTGTTTGATAACCATTTAGTTTTTTATTTAGGAACCATTTGATAACCATTTAGTTTTTAGTTTGGGAAATTTGGTCCTGTATAGAATTATAACCCGTTTATTTTTTTTTTCTTAGAAAAACACCAATTAAGCTTTAGATGTAATCAGATTTGTTTTGAAAAAAAAAAAAAAAAACTAATAAAAGGGGCTTGAAAACTTTAAGTTTTAACGATAAAGACAAAATAAAGGGTAAAGTGAATAATATCATGATTGACTTTTTAGTGTAAAAATGTGATTTTTCATTAAAGTAAACAGTATTGTGAGCTTTTTATTAAAACTTCAAAAAAAAAAAACATTAAAAACAAAATAAGAGAGACATTCGAGAAACCCAACATAGAAGGTCGGTTCCAAAGAGTGGGTGTTTGAGAGTGATGTACTCTAATGTTCCACTGCTACCCAATAAACCTAACAACAAATTTAAGATCAACACAAAAACCAGCAATTATGCGTTTGATGTAGTAATCACTTGGTTCAATTGCCTCTGAGTATAGAGAAGTGTAGTGGTAGTGTTTCAACAATTGGAATAGAGATGAAGAGTTAAAAGAAACAAACACTGGAGCTCCATAGGTAGGAGAAGGAGAAAGAGTTTCGACAAATGGGTAATTAAGTCTTTTTAACTTCAATTTTGGCTAATTTTATAAGAATTAGAAAAGATAGACTATATTTCATTAGATGGTTCTCAAAATGGTTATACTTCCAAATTTCCTTTTTGGTTTTTAGTTTTCACTTTTTAAAAGAAAAAAAAAAAAAAACTTAAAACTGAAATCTTGTTTGGTAACTTTTTCAGATGAAAATTGAAAACCAAAAAATAAAGACTTATCAAAATTTATTGAAAACTCAATAGAGTAGTTTTCAGTTTTTATTTCTTTGAAAACTGAAAGTAGTTACAAGCACAATTTCAGTTTTTAGTTTGCAAAAAAGTGAAAACAAAAACTTAAAATGAAATGATTATTAAACGACGTTTTTTTTTTGAACAAACGATATTATCTATATTAAAAAGGTTTTCGTGTCATTTTAAGCTATTTTTAGTCCTATAATCCTTCGTCCGGGTCGGTTGGAGATGACCTAATTTATATTTTGAAATGAACCCCATAGACATTAATTTAATTGATAAGTTCCACATAAATATTTTCATATTTCAAAATGGGAAAGGGATCCTCTCTAGATCTCTTCCTCCTAATCCACCAAATCAAGGAATTCGGGGCATTTGACGGTATTGGACTGTTAGGTAATTAGGTGTAAGATTAGAATTTAATTAATGATAATTAAGTTTACATGAGAGGGTAGTTGTAATCTCAGTCATGATCCTGATTATGTTCCCATGCATGTGATGTGATGCCTAAAAACAACGATCTTGACTAAGTATTATGATACAATTGATTGAAAATTTAAAAAAAATTATTTCAACTAATTATATTATGACATTTTATATTGAACTCGTAGATGAGATTCTTGTGTGTAACAAATATATGCTTGTATTAGTATTGTTGTCATCATGTATCACCGAGTTCTTGTGCGTAATTAGATAAAGAGAGAGACCAATTGTAAGAATAAACTATTGTATGATGAACTAACTTTCATTTCACAAACTTGAACACAGATATTTATCTGATTGTCAACGTTCATCAGCTTAATTGTCTTAAGCTTATGATTAACACATCACATTTTCTCAACAGTAAAGCTACATAGCAGCAACTATCATTTAGCTTCTGATTTTCGGTCTTGCACAACGAATTTCTACACCGGGAAACGCATTTTGTGTATGAATGCAGATCCCTGGTGACATCCTGCATTTTCTAGCTATGCTTTGGTGATTCTTCCGAGCATGCGAGACCGATCCCCAGGAGCGAAAGGTATGCACTTCCTCACAAATTGATTAATTTCACTTGTGTTCACGTAGTTTGCTTTGGTGATTCTGCCGCCTCAGTTTCTCCATTGATGTGGTTTGCTTCCTTTCCTTTTGCTGCAGGCACTTTCTCTTCAACAGCGGCGAGGAGAGCAGGATCCACAATCTGCTTCTGGAGATTGAAGCTGTTTATGTCCCCTTGTCTTGATGGTTCATCACCAATTACGTACTCTGTATCTCATGAAACAATCAAGTCTGTAAGTTCGCTGTGGACTAGTTACAAAATTGGAACATTACGTCTGTAATACGCTAACTTTTACTTTTTGTAAATTAAGGGTCCTTCTAATAGCGATTTCGTGTTTAGTTTTTAGTTTTCTTTTACCCTGTTTTTCTACCTCTTCAATAACTTATCTGTCTAGGTAGAAATTTGAGAAATTGTGAAGTGTGACCTGGAGCAGCATAGCCGGTGGTTCCCGTTATTCCAACTGTGCTACTTTGATTTAGAGGGGAGTCCGCGGTGGCTGAAATGAGTCTTGCTAACCCAACGTATTTGAAGCTGAGAAGCATGCGAAAATCGAGCTGGGATTGTCCTAGAGAATTTGTTTCCACCAATGCCAATTTGTTGGAGATTAGGCATGTTGAGGCCAATGTCAGGTGGATAATGCCCTCAAGTGCATTGCCTATTTCCTCTGGAACGTTTCCCACCATAATGTTATATGCCAAGGAAAGTTGTGTAACTGATGAAAGATTCGCCAAGGAAGAAGGGATGCCTCCTGTTAGATTGTTTGTGCCAATATTAAGTGTCAAAAGCTTCGCCAACGAGCCAAGCTCCTATGGTATATTGCCCATGAGACGGTTTGATCTCAAACTTATGATGCTCAATGCAGAGCAGTATGTCAAGTTGACTGGAATTTCCCCTCCAAAATGTTATCACTGAGATTGCGGTGCTGCAGTCTGAACAGATGACCAATTTGCTGTGGCACCTTGCCCGAGAAGCTGTTGTTTCGAAGGTTGATGAACCTAAGAAAGGAGAGGTTTCCAATGTGAGGTGGTATGGTTCCTTGCAAAACAGGGCCTTGCAGGTTCAAGGATCCTACTCTTTGATGCCTCCCGCAAGAACTCCATACCAGTTACAGAAATGAAGGGAGTCATTACATGAGTTCAAGAATCCGTATCGATTAGCGGATATGGATCCTCTAAATTTGAGTAAAGCCAATCGATCAGTCGTTTCTGAATGGATTTCCAGAAGTGGTATATTGAAAAAGTTTCATAACAAAGAGAAGGGTCGTCACGAAAAGGTATATAGGCCGAACGGAACATAAGCTCGGACCATGAAGATCCATTACTCAGTAAGCAGAAGCGGGAATTCTGACGATAAAATTATGCAGACTACGAGTTGTAGGACGATGAGCAGACTTTCTTAACCATCACGGCCAAGGCGCTCTGGTCGCTGGACGATTACTGGACTTCTTAACACCATGATAACTAGTTAACCCTTCAACACCATGACCAATGGGAAAAAATAAATGATGCATTAAACTTCCAAGAATAAGAACTAAATTATGTTTTTATTTATTTATTTGTATTCAAACTTCAAATCTCAATGCTGCTTTCTTTGAAACTGTTCTTACCGTTGACAGTTGACACAGAGAGGAAATAGATGACATGTTCTGTTGCTGTTAACTAGGATTTGAAAGCTACTCTCCAACTGGTGGTAAGAAAAGAAAAGGACAAACTGCTGATGCATGTTTAAAAGAATGAATCTGAAGGGAACAAAGATACTGCAGGTAAGAAGTCCAATTTCAGCTGAAAATTATTCTCTTTTATTCTAGTTTTATTTTACAATACAACAGTCTTCGTTTCTGCGAATTCTGAGAATGTAACTCAGTGCTTGAACAAACACAGTTGTTTTACGTGCTGCTTAGGCCGTGATCATATGATTTCTACGAATCGAGGTTCCAGTTAGTACATCCCTTGCTAGGCATAATCCTTCTACAACATGTCCAATATCCATCCTCTCTCTCGGCAAATCTGCAGAACAAGCAACTCCTATCCTGGCCATGATAACCAAGCACTTCCTAACTCTTTGCCTTTGATCATCTTGAACCTGATTCCTACCGTTGGATGCAATACTATGAGTGCTGCTTTCTTTTATTTGAAGAAGTACCGGATCACATATTTCTTCTACAAGTTCAGGCAAAGTTATCCGAACAAAGTTGTGCAGGTTCAGATCATCTTTGAACATCTCATCTGTAGGCCTTTTTCCAGTAAGCATCTCTAACAGTAGGATTCCGTAGCTATACACGTCTCCATATGTTGAAACCTCGTTTCCCATGCCATACTCTATAGATTTTTTTTCCGCACAGAAACATATGGATCATACTGTTAAAAACTGAAATAAATGAAAAATTAATGTTCTTGTACATGTCAGAAAGAGGTTGAAGCAACAATGCATCTTACCTGGGGCGATATAGCCTATCGAGCCATTTATGACATTGGCAGTGCTTCTTTGTGAAGGAAGTGAACACGAAGCATCCGGGAGGTACCTTGCTAAACCAAAATCAGCAACACGGGCAGTCATGTCGCCTTCCAAGAGAACGTTGCTGGGCTTCAAATCGCAATGAACTATTGGCATGTGAGAGTGGTTGTGCAAATAATTCAGAGCATTAGCTATGTCGATGGCAATGTTTACCCTCCGAGTAAGGTTCAAACGCCCCTGCACAATCGGTGCCCCAGGTAGTCTATGAGCTGAAAAATGTAGCCACTCTTCTAGATTTCCATTCGTCATGAATTCATAAACCAAAGCTATGAAATCATTCCCTTGAAAATTGATACTTACGCACACGGTCAGTAGTTTGACAAGATTTCGGTGCCTAATATATTTCAAGGTTTCACATTCAACCATAAAACTCTCTCTTGAACGATGAGCACTGAGTACTTTCACTGCAACAATTCTTTCTTCCTGATTGAGAATTCCCCTGTACACAGACCCAAAGCTACCAGCACCAATCAAATTCCGAGAAGAGAACCCATTAGTTGCTTTGAGGAGATCTCCATATGAAACTTTCAAGAGTGAAACCTCCCATGATGATCCTAAAGTTAACTTCGATCTCGCTTTGCTTGATAGATAAAGAAGCACAAAGCGCAATGCTTTTCTGGCTGGATAAAGAAGGATGAAGCACAATAGTAAGATAACTCCAATACCGATCCCACAAGCAATTGAGATAAGTACTTTTTGCCATAGAAATATATCTTGCTTATTGTTGGAGTTGCTGGAGTTGCATATGGGCAATTGTAACTCAGGTATACCTCCACAAAGCCGTATGTTTCCCTTGATATAAAATGCAGTTCTATTTGTGAAAATTCCTTCCGTTGGTACTGCACCTTCAAGATCATTATGTGATAGGTTCAAGTTCTGCAAGAAACGGAAACTCCCCAAATAGTTGGGAATTCCGCCAGACAAGTTGTTACGAGAGAGGTCCAAATTTTCAATCCCTCTTAGAGAACTCAAGGATTGAGGAATTGTTCCCTGAAACAAGTTTCCACTAAGATACAGACTTCTCAAACCCATGCATCTCCCTAAAATTCCTGGGACTTCACCAGATAACATGTTTGCGGAAAGATCCAAGATGTCAAGTGAATCCATGTTGCCTACTTCCAAGGGAATGGATCCGGTAAGTTGGTTTCTGGATAGGTCCAGATCCACAACATGTGTCAAGGCTGACAAAACTTGTAGTGGAATGGGACCGCTAAGATTATTTTGAGAAAGATGCAAGTATATCAAACGCCAGCAATTACCAAGACCTTGCGGTGTGCGTCCTTGTAAGAAATTGGACATGAGATCTAATACTTCTAGTGAAGATAGATTGCCTATTGAAGGTGGGATAGTACCTGACAGCTCATTGTGATCCAAATACAAATAAACTAGTTTATCTAGTTTAGAAATTGAGCTTGGTATAGAGCCCCTCAATAGGTTTTCCCCAAAGTCTAACCTCCCCAAGTTGACAAAATTTCCAATCTCAGAAGGAATGCTTCCGCGTATCTGATTCCTCCACATTCCCATTGCCTCGAGCTTTATTGAGAGATTGCTGACAGATTCAGGTAGCACTCCTCCAAAATGATTGGAACTGATGTCCAAATGCTCTAAATTGGTGCAATTAACCAGAGAAGAGAGAAAGTCCAAGTCACCTATCTCATTATTTCCAAGATTGTTAGCATCTATTTCTAACCGGAACAGATTGGACATCCTTGCCAGGCTAGGTATTCTTCCGGTAAACATATTTTCTAAGATTACAAATATTGCAAGGTTGGATGCATTGGAGATTGTAGTTGGTATTGGTCCAGTGAATTGGTTGAAATGGAAGAAAAAGGCATTTAGGTTTGGAAATATAGCGTGGCCCAAGCCAGGAGGAAGAGTTCCATGTAGTTGGTTTTGAACCACCGAAATGTTTGTAATAGAAGAGAGGTTGTATATGGATGGAGGGATGGTACCTGTCAAATAATTTTGCCCCAATGAAATGGATGTTAAACTTTTCAACTGGCCAAGGCTATTTGGAATACCTCCCTGCAGATTATTTTGTGCTGCAGATAGCACCCGAAGAGAAGAAAGATTCCCAAACGAAGATGGGATTTTCCCACTAAATCTATTCCTATCTAAACGAAGTACCTGAAGCTTCGCCAATGAGCCAATTTCGGTTGAAAGTTCGCCACTAAGAGCGTTGCCAGATAAGGCAAGGTAAAGGAGGTTAGAGCAACGTGATATGTTGAATGGAATATGACCACTGAAGGAGTTGTTTTGAAGGTGTAGTAGTTGCAACCGGAGCAAACGACGAATTTCTGGAGGGATGGTGCCACTGAAGCTATTGTTTGGGAGGTTTAACTCTCTCAAAAAGCTCAAGTTTCCAATGTGGGGGGATAGCGACCCTACCAGCCGGCTTGATTGAAGGTCAAGCACCATGACTCTCTTGTGTCTGCGGCCGCAGGTAATACCAGGCCACTGACAGAAATGCAGGGATGCATTCCAGGAGCTCAGGATTCCGAGTGTATCGTTTGTGATTTCAGCTTTAATGGCAAGCAAGGACAGCCTATCCAACTCATTTCCTACTAGAAGCGAGGAAGAGGCAGAGGTAAAAAGAAAGAGTTGCACGAAAATAAACCAAGTAGTAAGGAGGATACCTGGGAACTCCATTGCGGCCGCAAAACAAGGATCAAGTTTTGAAGCAGAAGTGATATGCATGAACAGAAACAAAACTAAAACTTGCAGCAAATGTGGGTGTCGATGAAAAACATTGTAACTTGACGCAAAGACATAGAAAGTTAAAGTTAACTGCAGGAGTAGACTTTGGAGTCCAAATCAGTTGCTCAAAGTCATCAGAAATTTCTTCGGAAAGTTAAAAGTTCACACTGGTTGATGCTATTTGTTCAAACTTGGCTGAAGATGTTTTTTCCATCTTGAAGAACAACTCTTATAGTTCACACTGGTTGATGTTATTCGTAGAACTCATAGTACTTTTTGGACTTATAAGTCCAAACACCTTCACTTGTTTGAGAACTCCCTCTCACACTATCTTCCAAGGCCCATCTATAAACCTTGCAAAAAGTTTCATCTTCTTTTCGGATCCAAGCCCTATCTTTCATTGCATATCCATTTGAAAATTATTGAAAAAATTGAAGGAAAAATTATTGGAAAAAGCAAGAGAAGAGAATGTGAATAATTGAAATAAAATGAAGTAAGACAGTTGAAAGTGTGAAAATTATGTGAGAAATGCTGTAGGAATGACTTGGGTATTTATAGGAAAAAAAAATTATAATTTTTTATTAATTTTCAAAAAAAAATTTGTCCGCCAAAAAAAGAAAAAAGGAATTTTAAATCTAACGGTAACCTGGCGTCAACATGATGCCAGATAGCCTTTGACGTTAGGTAGCCATTGGAGCTCAAAATTTAGGTCAGCCGGGGGCTGGCTAACTCATTTGGGCCAGTCGGTTGGCCTGATTTGGTGGTTTTGGCCTGATGGGGCTCATGAGCCATTTGGCCTAGCGTTCGGTTGGAGACGGTTTTCATGTCATTTCAAGTTATTTTTAATCCTATAGCCCTTTGGCCGAATCGATTGGAGATGACCTAAGACCACCACCAAGCCTTCTCATTGCTTCAACAAGTTGCTCTCTCAACCTTTGTGACACCAAACAGCTTCCCATTGCGATGACACACTCCCTATATAGTCCAACAAAATCCTCTCCGGATCCTTTTGGTGAAGATACTAAGGATCCGTAAATCATGTATGTTCATCGTACATTGTGCGGTCAGTTTTTGTCAAGTATTGTTCGTATAATTTTAAATAAAAATATTTAAAATAATTTCTGACCGCACGATGTACGATGAACGAATATGATTTATGAATCTTCGAAATCCTCACAAAGAGGATCTGGTGAGGATCCAGATTTCTAGTAATGTATAAAAAAAATCTTATACCATGTTTACTGAGTCGTGATCATAATTGAGTTGATGTGAAACTATGGTCTAAATTCGTTAAAGTTGTCCATCAAATAATTTGGTATCGAAATATGTGATATACTAACTTAAATAATCTATTTACTAATTTTCCATCGTTGAAATGAAAACCAATTTGACTAGTAAATTGTCTAATAAGAATACTACTCCGGACAAAGAGTCTAATTCCTTTAAAATCAGGAGTTGAATTCTTTAGTTTTTAAAGCCTCCATGTGTATAGATTTCTCCATAATTAATAAATAAATTATTAATTTATAGTTAACTATAATTTCTCACTAAATTATGGATTAATAAACAATTCGAGAGAAGTTAGAAATATTAACCAAAATTCCGTCATTCTATATTACAGTTTGGTGATATTTCTCTTCACTTGTAAGTGAGAGATATTAGTTTGAATCTCGTAAATGGTGAATTTGATACCAAATTAAGTTATCTACTATGTGGCTTAGCCAAACTCCTTCCTATCTTTAGTGTAAAATATATCGTTGTATTAAAAAAAAAAAAAAAAAAAGAACCAAAAATTCCAAGCCTAGGAGGATATACAAGTCAATTTTTGACTAACACTCTTACCCTCGCTTGGCACCAAAACAGCCGCGAGGATAACCAAGAATCCAATCCCTGCTATTTGGTTAGAGATCATCAAAAGATGCACACACATATGTATTTGCATATGAATATACGTCTCAGTTAGGTAGATTTTGTTTGGCTTGATTTGGAGGGTGTACAAATTTTGCAGAGGAGGACGCAAAAAATTCTCCGTTCGTGCAGAGGCATAAGAAGTACGCATCTCAAATCCCCATTCTCTTGAAAAATTTCAAACCTAATTTGAGTTAATTATAATTAATGTCTCAACCAGTGATTGATCCAAAATCTGACAATCTCTGCTAGTTAATTTGTAATTTGCTTTTTCACCGATTTTCTCAGTTGCTTGTAATGTGGATTTTGATTGGCTGATTATAGAATTTAAATGTGGTTTTTTTATTTAACAAAGAAGAAGTGTGATTATTTAGGGACCGTTTGATAACCATTTAGTTTTTAGTTTGTGGTTTTGGTTTTTAGTTTTCACTTTGAAAAAAAAAAAAAAAAAAAAAAAAAAAAACTTAAAACTGAAATCTTGTTTAGTAACTTTTTCAGATGAAAACTGAAAACCAAAAATAATGATTTGTCAAATTTTATTGGAAACTCAATAGAGTGTTTTCCGTTTTTATTTCTTTGAAAACTGAAAGTAGTTACAAGGCAATATTTCAGTTTTTAGTTTGCAAAAAAACGAATACAAAAACTGAAAATGAAATGGTTATTAAACGACGCATTTTTTTTGAACAAATGATATTATCTACATTGGGAGGGGTGAACTTAAGCCTCACAATGGGCTAACAATAATGTGGTTCAAATTCGCCTTTGGCGAGGTTCGAACCTAAGACCTTCCACTTACAAGTGAAGAGAAATCACACTAGACCGTAGTACTAAATGGCCAACGACGCCTTAGTAATTGAGGTTGAATTTCTGAACGACAACGTTTCGTCAGCATTGATATTTCGTGGTCTTGGGCAATATATGGAAATTGAACCAAGTTTCTTAATTGTTTCAAGGAGTCATCCATGTTCGCGTTAGTACAGTGGATAAATGCAGTCAGGACTGCTATCATATGAATTGAACAAAACTTAAAGAGTATATTGGATCAGTATTCTTCTTATGTGAGCGTGCGATTAGTGAATTTGGTAGAGTTAGATAATCAGTAGTGCTTGAGTTCTATATTTGATTTGCCCTTTTAGTTGGTCAATCAATTCGTAGTTGTTAATATTTGTCTGAGTTCTCGTAGATAGATCTATAGATTTCATGATAACAAAAGCAAGAAATCAAGTTTAGCTCTAATTTGGTACTGAGGTGATTCTTAAAAAAATGGCTATAAAAAAAAACTGGAAGCTTTTTTATGTTTGGTAAACATTCAGCTTCAGTTTTTTTTCACAGTTTTTGGTGAAAAAAAGCCAAAAACACAAAGCTGCAAAACCCAGCTTTGAAAAACCAGCTTTTTTTCACATCTGTTTTACATAAAAGTTTATCAAACGCTATAATACTGTTTATTTATTTTTTTCAAAAGCACTTTTACAAAAAAGTTTACCAAACACTCTATTGTTTTATTTCACAGTTGCTTATTCTCACAGTACAGCAGAAACAGTTTTTTTTCAAAGCACAACAATACCAAACTAGTCCTTAGTATGAGATGACAATGCGAGATGACCCCTCGTCATGTTGATTGCATTGAACTCGCAGTGATCTTCGATGTCTTTCAAGAATCACAGGTATTTTGTTAAAAAGTTACTATCTCATTTGTTACGGCCTTCAAACAGTATATTTCTGGTCAATCAACTGCAGTGAAGTGAGTAGCTTAAGGTTGCATGCTATATGTAGTTTGGTCCGAAATGAATAAATCGGCTAAAGGCTCCTACGCCATTTGTTGCAGATTATGTATTACCTGTTACTCATCGTTTGTATGAATGGGGCTGAGATCTTTATGTTCATGATTATTTTCTACCAGCTGAATCCATCGAAGCAAGATTGCATATGTGCTATAGTTTTTGCATTCCGTCGATACTTAATTAGGGGTGGAAAAAAAATTACCGAAAATCCGAAACCAAACCGAAAAATGTCCGAATCGAAAATCCCAAAAATTTTAGTACCAAAATCGAACCGATCCCAAATTATTTGGTATGGGATTCGGTCTCACGTCTTAACACCATTCGGTATCCATGTCCCAAACCGAACTTTAATAAATATCTATAATGGTGTAGAAAAGTGTGCAGAAAAAGCACTTGAGCAGATGATGTGTGTAGAAAATCCATGTCCCGAACCAAACTCTAATATCTATTATATATTATTAAAATAAGCAAATTATGCAGAAAAAACACATGATGTGTTGTGTGCGTCTATATTTCTATCAAGCAAACATATCTATAATGCCCTATTATATAATATTAAAATAAGTAAAGTGTGCAATTGTCTCAGACTTTTTAGACAAAGTCTCTCCCATCTCTGCCTTCGCCAAAGTCTCACTCTTTCTGTCTTTCCTCTCGAATTTGAAACTCAAAGGCGACCGACCCACCCATCCTCTCACAAATTGACTCCGACCAACTCTCTCCATTCCGGCCACCACCACCTCACTGCTTCATCCCCACCTTCGGTTCTCTCCATTGATTCTCTATGTGTGTGGGGTTTCAAATTAAGGTTAGGGTTTCAAATTGGGGTTAGGGTCAGGAGGAAGATGAAGGTCTAACTATCTCTTCACTCTGTCTATCTCTCGACCTTCAATCTTCACCGATTCACTCACTGTCTTTGATTTTAAATTGGGGTTTTAATGTAGGTTAAGATGATTTCAGGTTTGGTTTCGGGAAATCCCAAAATACCAAAAATATTTCAGGAATCCTGAACTTCGAGAATACCCAAATATTGGTTTGGGATTGATCGTCAGATTTCCGTCCCAAAAATAGTCGGTTTGGGACTTGATATGCCTTTCTCAGTTCGGTATCCCATACCGAACCAACCCTATCTCTACTAATTAATAAAACACTCATTGTCAACCAAAACCCTATGAAATTATCAATTTAACCCTCTAATTAAAACATAACATGAATAAGAAATATGAGGCATAAATGTAATTTCACACAACCAAATTTTACTGTTTTTTTTCCAAAGCCTCACCTATATGTAATCCTAACATATCTCTAATTAAAAATAAAAAATAAAATAAAAATAAAAAAAACTTCTCACTCCCACATTCTCTATTACTTTCTTCCTCTCTCCTTCTATTTCAAAAATAAAAAAATAAAAATAAAAATTCTCACACACTTTATGTGTGCCCATATGCTAGTATTTAATTGTGATTGATTGCCTGCACGTTATTGACATTGTGCCCAAATTTGTTGTGCTTTTAAGTGAACGAGCTGATGATTGGTACCCAATGTAGATCAACTTCTGTTGGGCAGACGACGACCTGGTTTGGTACTGAGGTGATTCTGAAAAAAGCTGCTATCAAAAAAAGCTGGGAGCTGTTTTTGTGTTTGGTAAACACTCAGCTTCAGCTTTTTTTCACAGTTTTGGGTGAAAAAAAGCCAAAAACAAGAAGCTGCAAAACCCAGCTTTGAAAAACTGGCTTTTTTTCACATCTGTTTTACATAAAAGTTTACCAACACTCTAATACTGCTTTTTTTTTTTTTTCAAAAGCACTTTTACAAAAAAGTTTACCAAACACTCTGCTGCTTTATTTCACAGCTGCTTATTCTCACAGCACAACAGAAACAGTTTTTTTTCAAAACACAGCAATACCAAACCAGCCCGACGAAGGGCGTTTAATAATTGTTTTAGCTTGGTTCTTTTTGGGGAGGAATCCGGATCCCTTTCCACCTAATTCATCAAGTTTAGGATCTGAGCCGTTGAAATTTGATCCAACGGCTACAGTTATTATAACTTTTAAAGGGGCCCATATTTGTAGTTGTTGGATCAAATTTCAATAGCCCGGATCCCGGACTTGGTGGATTAGGTGGAAAGAGATCCAGAGAGGATCCCTTTCCGTTCTTTTCGACCTAGCAACTGTTCATGTTGATGTACACTTAATTATTAGAACAGTGATCTGCTTTAGTTTGTTAAATGCATGATGCTTTTCGACAATGAAATTCAGTAGTTACGCCTAAATTAAAACCTCAATCGTGTGTCGGATATCTTTCGGTTAACGTGGTATGATTTTGGTGATCACATTTGGGTAAAAATATAACCTAGTATGGATGCTGATGAAATTTAAATTTATAGAAATCCCTATGGTTCAACTGGTAACAATTGATTTAAAATAAATTATATTCAGATTAAATATAATCATTCCCAACTTTAAGCATTTTGGTTCAGTTCTCATGTTTAAGCTTTAACCATCAATTCTTCGACGGTGCAATTTTACAATTAGCTAATCAGTCAAGTTAGTTTAATTAGCCAAAAGAAATTCTTGCCTGAACAAACTCCTTTGGATTTGATTACGTCAGTTGACCAAGATAGAGTGCTTGTTATCAAAACCTTGAATATTTTCACCGTAGATTAAATATTAAAAAATATATTCTCAAAGAGAAAAAAGAAAAGGAAAACTAATAAAAATTGTTTGAAAACTTTGAGTTTTAATAATAAGGACAAAATAAAGGGTAAAGTGAATAGTGCCAGGTTTGACTTTTTAGTGTAAAAATGTGGTTTTTCATTAAAATAAACAGTACCGTAGTCTTTTCGTTAAAACTTCCAAAAAGAAAACCTATTTGGATAAGAGGGAAAGAAGGAAACAAAAAAAATTATTTCGTGATTAAAAAATCTATTACTGCATTTAAGCGTAATAGCCGTCTTAGCCCAGCTGGTAGAGCGCGTGGTTTTTAACCACGTGGTCGTGGGTTCGATTCCCACAGACGGCGTCCTCTTGGTTGATTAAAATTTTATAATTATTAATCTATTTGATTAATTTTTTTTTTTCTCGGAAAATAGTGATGAAACCACGTCTGATTATCGCTGAGAATTTTTGCTTCTCCAATCTTATCTACCTCAACTGCAACTCCAAACCCAAAAACTCCGGCGATGAACCGGGCCCACCGAACCTGACCAACCAAACTCTCCGAACCTTTTTTTTCACATAAAAATGGCGGCGGCGGCGAGAATAAACTTCTTCTTAAACCACACAAATCCCCTCAACTACAAAGCCGCCGCCCATCTCAGAACTGACCTCCGCTTCCAACGAAGACGACCCAAAACTACGTCGTTCTGCACCCGCGCCTCCGCTGCTCCCCTCCACGACGAATCCTCCGCCGCCGGAGGTAGTGATCCTTTTGTCCTCACCACTCCGCTCTATTACGTGAACGCCCCTCCCCATTTGGGCAGCGCTTACACCACCATTGCCGCCGACGCCATTGCTCGATTTCAGCGGCTGTTGGGTAAGAAAGTCATCTTCGTCACCGGAACTGACGAGCACGGTGAGAAGATTGCGGCCGCCGCCGCTTCTAATGCGTCCACTCCAGCTCAACACTGCGATCTCATTTCACAATCTTACATTTCGCTCTGGAAACAGGTAATTTTACTTACCCACCATGGGAAATTTACTGCTTTGTTGAATTGGTGTTCAAATTACCGTTCTTTTTTTATATGATTGCAGTTAGAAATTTTTTGTTTTTTTTAGTTGGTGTGCAAATTGCTGTGCTTTTTCACCTTTTGATTCTGGGTTTTTGTGGTGATTGCAGTTGGATATATCGTATGACAGGTTCATTCGGACTACTGACCCCAAGCATGAGGCAATTGTCAAGGAATTTTACTCCAGAGTTCTTGCCAATGGAGACATTTACAGGGCTGACTACGAGGGACTTTATTGTGTCAACTGTGAAGAGTATAAGGTGCCTTTTTCTGTATCCGGTTTTCGTTATGCGTTTTTGTTTGAGATAACGCTCAACTCAGATTGACTCAACCAAGCTTATCTGTATTGTAAATTTCTTCGGTTGAGTTGTGTTCGTTGTGTTAATTGTATTTATGATATAACTGGGTTGATTCATCCTTGTGCTAATTTGAAGAAGTGGACCAAATTGCTCAATGAGTGAAAATTTGATTGCTGTTCCTTTCCGTTTGCTATATACTGTTTGAATATTTTGTTTGCATATCTACTGATTCCTGAGCTGTATTTTCAGGAGTAGCTTCGGTTGTACTTAATCATTGATCTGATATCGTTAGTTATGAATATTGCACAGGATGAGAAAGAACTACTTGAGAACAACTGTTGTCCTACGCACCTAAAGCCATGTGTTGCACGAAAAGAAGACAATTACTTCTTTGCATTGTCCAAGTATCAAAAATCGTTGGAAGAAACTTTGGCAACAAAACCTAATTTTGTACAGCCTTCATTCCGTCTTAATGAGGTAAGAAACAAAGTACATTGATTTACGTAATTTTAAGTTATTTACTTTACATATGAAAATGCAAATGTAATTCTAATACCCACCATGCAAGCCATTTCAGATATCTTCTGCCTGCGTTGCCAATCGTTGTTTCTTTATTTATTTCTCACTCCATCCTGTGAGTGCGTTACGGTTATTTTGGACTAATAGTAATTGGGGAGTGTGAAAAACTAAAATTGAAGTGCTGATAATGGTACTCTTTCTTTAATTCTATAAGTAACTAAAACATGTTTGATCTTTTCCTCAAGGTTCAAGGTTGGGTTAAAAATGGCCTAAGAGACTTTTCCATTTCTCGAGCATTAGTGGATTGGGGCATCCCTGTTCCTAATGACAGCAAGCAAACAATATACGTTTGGTTTGATGCTTTATTGGGGTAAAGTTCTTTCTTCCTCCTGTCCTCCATCCCTTGTATGGCTTATAGTCATGGTATTTATTAGGCTGTGAGTACTCGTTCAACATATGGCTGACATAGATTAATACTCGTTCAACATATGGCTGATATAGATTAATAACCAAGTTCTCAGAGAATTGTTTGTTTCTTAGTAAATAGAAGATTAGTACAAAACCTGTTTTACTAGTTGTTTCTTTAAAATCTTTACTACTTTTTTCTCTGTTGTTTTTTGTGAATGCTCACTAGGCATTTTTTATTGGACATATATGTTTCAAAAAAATTTAAACAGTTATATATCAGCATTATCAGAGGATACGGAGCAACCCGATTTGGAAAGAGCCATTTCATCAGGGTGGCCTGCCTCGCTACACTTGATTGGCAAGGTATGTTGATTACCATACTTTGTAAATCAACTTGTTTCTTCACCAGTATACTCCTATTAATCAGCTATCCTAATAAGTTTTACATCATTTAATTAAACTATGAGTCTCAAACTTCCAAATGTTTGCATGAGGTGATATTATCTGTTCACTTATAAACCAAATTAAGTTTTCCTGAGCAGAGGAGGAGATAACCGAAGATGTTATTCAAAATGTATATGCTCATTTTACATTCCATTGCTTCTCAGTTGTTTGACTAGCTTCATGTCCTTTCATTGACTGTTGTCAAAAGCACTAGCAGAAGTGGTTCATACTTATTTCTGACTTTCAAATAGTAGTATTCAATATTATAGTTGATATTTTGTATTCTTCTGCAGGATATTTTACGTTTCCATGCAGTTTACTGGCCAGCTATGCTAATGTCTGCGGGACTAGGTCTTCCTAAGATGGTGTTTGGCCATGGATTCTTGACAAAGGTATTTGAGTCTAATATATTTAAGGTTTCTTCTACAATTAGATGAACTTATATTGGTATTGGAATCCTCATTGAATTCATTGCCCTGTAATCTTTGTGTAATGATCACGTCAACTGGAGATTTAAAGTGTAGCACACCAAGTTTCTGTAGCGTATGATCAAATTCTTAACCATTAAATCCATTTTGAAGCACACAACTGGTGTCATGTATGTCTGTGTGACACATCGGTCTTCTGTGTCCAATATGAGAGATTCCACAGGAACAATATAATGGTCTTGCTTGAAATATATTGCAGTTAGAAGATTCAGTTAACAAACTGAGAGTAATTGAACTTTTTTTGTAATGTTGGTGTGCTTCGTATGCCAGAATATCAAAACTCGTAGTAATCCAAATTGTTGATCATGGATTTTGTTCGGTCTCTTGATTATAGCTTGTTAACCTTAGCTACATGCACTCCGTTGCACTCATGAATTCTGCATTTAAAAGCATAGTTGCAGTGTATTGCGTACAAATTAAAACGATGACTAATGAATGTGAGTACATTTTGAATTTTCATCTCATATTTGTAATTTTATTTCATGCAGCAATGCTTTTTATTTTTAACATTATAGGATGGTATGAAGATGGGGAAGTCGCTTGGGAATACGATTGAACCAAATGATTTGGTTCAGAAATTTGGGTCTGATGCGGTCAGGTACTTCTTCCTAAGAGAGGTGGAATTTGGAAATGATGGGGACTATTCAGAAGAACGTTTCATCAATATTGTCAATGCTCACCTTGCAAATTCAATTGGTATCTCTATTCAGTGTGTCATTAAATTCTCTTTGGTTAGTCATTTGTAGTGTCTTAGCTATTTTATAGTTTGAGAAATCAAGTTTCTATCCTTTGCAGGAAACCTGCTTAACCGTACTCTGGGACTTATTAAGAAAAACTGCCAATCAACTTTGCCTGTTGATTCAAGTATTGCAGTTGAAGGAACTACGTTCAAGGACACAGTGGAGAAATTGGTAAAATTTTCATGAAATTTCCAATACAATCACTATCCTTTATGTAACCGCTTGAAACCCTTTAATCTAGGTGTCCAACTTTTTCCATACTTTAATAGGTTGAAAAAGCTCGGGTTCACTATGGAGACCTCTCGCTGTCATCAGCTTGTGAGGCTGTGCTAGAGATCAGCCATACTGGAAATTTATACATGGATGAGCGTGCACCATGGTCACTCTTTAAGCAAGGGGGTGCTGCTTCCGAAGCTGCCGCAAAGGTTCTCGTAACATAGATAAATGTTTGGGGTTGTCTGTTTGTATGAGTTTGTGTGCATATTTCCTTCAACATGGACCATTTACATTGGTTTGGTTCAACCAACCACTCGTTTAACCCATAAAGGAGGTCAATTCTTGAATCTCGTACACTGGTGTCTAATGATACATATCAGCTGGACTCGAGTGACTAAGTCAACCTGTGTGTCAATTCAAAGTTTAACTTTGTAGTTGATGGCCAATACATAATTGCCTTTTATTGAAAGCTCGAGTTTTTGGCGCAGGACCTTGTGATAATACTAGAAGCAATGAGGATTATAGCAATTGCATTATCACCCGTCGTGCCTAGCTTAAGCTGGAGAATATATGGACAGCTTGGCTACTCAAAGGATCAGTTTGATGCTGCTACCTGGGTCCTTCTCAAACACTTCTACACATGGATGTAGGTCTGATTTCCAAGCACTTGTTTTATGAACTAACACGTCGTTTTGTACTGCAGAGCGACACCAAGTGGGGCGGGCTAAAGAGTGGTCAGGTCATGGAGCAGCCTAAACCGGTCTTTGCAAGGATTGAAAACCCAACAGAAGAAGAAAACGGGAAGGAAGCACCTAAAAAAGTGGTGAAAAGGGAGAAGCTACCCCAAGCCAAACGGGCGGTTGAAGCTTAAAGATTCATACCTGAAATGCTTTCATTTTTTCGCCTTCAAATCGTATAGGGATCACGTATTGCTTTACAACTTTTTTTTTGCCAAGGATTACAATTACAAACTTTTTGTGTAAGATCAGATCATTATTCAAATATATAGTTTCATAGATCTTTTTATCATTCAGATGTGCAAAAACTTTTAGGTCTTCTTGAAGTTGAAAAAATAAATTTGTATAGTAAAAGGGGAAACTTGTGGCTCACGTTGATGAGAATAACTTTCATGGATAGGGCTGTGGACACCTCACATAATGTTTGGGAACGATTGTGCCATGTCATTACGTCAGCCCTATCCAAAATTTTATCCTCGTCAACGTGCAGAGTTCCACCTTATTTCTGTAGGAGGGAGGGGCAGGAACAAGAGGGGGACCAATCACAAAGAAATATTAAGCCAAAATGTTAAGAAAAAGTATATCTTGTTGATATAAAACTCTCAAATACCATCCAAATAGTTCAAGTAAAAGTCACAAACAATAGTAAAACCACTTATTCGTCTACTTGAGAAACATATGGAATAGAGATGTATCACACGGTGGAGGCAAGCAAGTTTACAAAAATGCGCCACCACCCTTGCATTCTATGCTACATCGTCGACTAACTTTTGAGGACGCCAAGCCTTGCGCGGAAATCATCCTCCATGAAGGGAAGACCTTCGCGCAACTTAACCTTTGGTTCCCATCCCAGCAGCTCCTTTGCTTTTGAGATGTCAGGCTTCCTTTGGCGGGGATCATCAGGTGTGTTTTCAACCATTATGATCTCTACCTTAGGATTGATAAGCTGCAAGCCACAAGATCAAGTAATTAGTTACCCGTATAAACTTCATGGAGAAATATCGGACGTTTGGGGGCTTGAGAAGGAATACAAAACTTACCTCCTTGACATTCTCTGCAAGTTCAAGCATTGTAAATTCACCTGAAAACAGAAATAAGTTAATATTGTCGATGAAATAATACTAAAAAGCTAAATTACCTCCCTATTAAGCACTCAGACTTCGTATTGTAACCTGGATTCCCAATGTTGATAGGTCCGGTGTTGTCCCCTTGCATAAGTCGAATAAGGCCATCGACCTTCAGAATTAAAATGTAGGATTAATTTGTATAAACTCCTGATGAACACAGTTTAATTGTCTGCATGAACATTAAGCAAAATAATAAGATTGTGCTTACCATGTCCGACACATAGCAGAAACTCCGTGTTTGAGTCCCAGGCGCTTGAACAGTCAAGGGATCGTTACTACAGAAATAGGCAACAAATATCTCAGCATTACATGGGCAGTGCAAGCAAAGTGAAACTCCACCGGTTGTGTGCCTCTAGTAAGTGTAGAGAACCAAAGTAAATGCTCAGTAGAACTTACCGGATAGCTTGTGCTATGAAATTGCTGACAACACGACCATCATCGATATTCATTCGAGGTCCATAAGTGTTGAAGATCCTAGCAATCCTTATCTCTGCAAAGGAACATAATTCAGCAAAATAGCAAAGTAAAAAAATTTGAAGCAATACAAGTCTCGACAGAGAATTCAAACAAAAAGAAAGCATCAAAAGAAGAAAATTAGGAAAGGAGAGGGGACCTATGCCATGCTGCCTGTGATAATCAAACATCAAAGTTTCAGCAACTCGCTTTCCCTCGTCATAGCAACTCCTAACTCCTGTTTTATGTTTTCAAACACAAAACCAAATATAAGTGCCAATAAAAACCAAATATAAGTGCCACAAGTTGGTGCATTTGAAATGTTTGGACTACAATTAAAGAGATGGATTTTAATAGACAACGCCCAGAAAAAAAGAGAAAATAGAATTTCGAGAATGAAATCCGTACCAATTGGATTCACATTTCCCCAATAGCTCTCGGTCTGGGGGTGAATGAGAGGATCTCCATACACCTCCGAAGTAGATGTAAGCAAAATCCTGAATCGAGTTCATACCATGAGAAACAAGAAAGACATAGAAAGATGGCTAAATCTAAGAAGACAGAACTACATAATCAAACCTTGCTCCGACTCGCTTGGCAAGTCCCAGCATGTTCAATGTACCAATCACATTTGTCTTTATTGTCTGTTACACAAGAAGGTAATGTTCCACTATTATCTCAGTTGCCGTTAACACTTAAAGTTCAATTCTTCACATTCCTCAAATTTACACAAAATACTGATAGACACACCTTTACAGGATTGTACTTGTAGAAGATCGGGGAAGCAGGGCAGGCAAGATGGTATATTTGGTCAACCTCAATTAGCAGAGGCTCTGTGACATCTGCGTGAAGGATTGTCCTTAGTGTTTGTTCCGTTCTTTACAAAATGAGACATTTGGGCACTGATTCTTACACACTATCATGCAGATACACACACGCACACACAAGAAGCTTTATTTTGTTTTTCTTCGTACTGAATAGACAGGTTAAAAGACATACCATGACGAATGAGTTCAAATCTTGGATGACCGATCCATTTCTTCAGGTTGTCCTTTGAGCCAGTGAAGTAATTATCCGCAACAATCACCTGAAAAGAAAACACCGTAATTAATCACATCACATATGTTGGAGAAACATAAACACTCAGGATTGTTGCCAATGTAAATTCTAATTCTTTTTATATCGGACAATAGAATCCCACCTCATTCTTTTCGTTTTCCATCAATTTGTCCACTAGGTGAGAGCCGATGAATCCGGCTCCTCCAGTTACCAAAATTCTCATATTGGCCTGCCATCGGATCAATAAACACTTGAATATACACAAAATGCCACAGAAACACGAAGCGAAACAACACTCTTGTAGCACGGCATATCACTAACAGACCGAGCTAATTAAACTAGTTGAAAATAACGAAAAACCGACTGCGTAGAGATGTTACCTGGAAAAACTTGGCATTTCTCAAAGGAGAGGGGCTTGGAGGTGGCTTTGGAGTGCTTTGGTGATCCCCATTTGCAGCCATCTGTTAAAACTTCTGCACCACAAACAATCGAAACTTCCACATTTCGATCAAATTCACAACACACCGACATACTCAGATTCGAAAACAAAATCGAAACTTGACAGAAAACAAAGAGGCAAAATTTAACATCCAAAAACCATAATTCAGCAGAAAAATTCACAAGCTTAACAACAAATCAAGCTCAGATCACCTGAATTTTCAGAGCAAATCCCAAATTCCCTCAGCTTGTATACAAGTTCAAGTGTGGTCTGAGTAAAAGAGGGATGGCATTTATATACCGAATGCAATAGAATTTAAATTTTTTAAAAAATTAAATATTTGGAATTGATTACCAAAAAACAATTTATTTCAATTTAGCACCAAACTCTACCAACTAGAGAGAGAGAGAGAGAGAGAGAGAGAGAGAGAGAGAGGATGCTTCAAAAGCAATCAAATTAGGTAGTCATCGAAAGCATTCTGCACAACCAAAACTAAAACCCCACAACTATTATTCCCAGATCTGAAATCCAAATCTCACACAAACCCAACAATTTTCTTCACCCCAACGAGCCAAAAAATCGAAAAAACAAATAAACGGGTGGTCAAAAGCGATGTAAATACCTCAAAAATATAGAAAAAGACTGGAGCTTTTCTCTGTCAGTGAAGAAGAAGGAAGGAGCCTCAAAGGCGTGAAATATTTTTGTTTTTAAGGTTTAAATTTGCTAGACTGCATCGAAGACGAAGACATATATATACATGTACAACGTGTTGATGCTGTTTGTGTTGGAGAGGTACCCGGAATTCACGGTGGTTCGGAAGATTTTTGGAGATTGCAGAAATCACTGCATGCCACGTCACCTGGAAGTAGGATGCGCTTTCCATGTTTCCAGCTCTCACCTCTTCACTTCTTTCAGTTATGTTGGGTTCAGGTGTGACGAGTCACATGATACACACGGTGGGGGGCCAATGAGTAACCGCCATTTCATGAATTAAGAAGTTCAACGAACTCTCCCTTTATCCTTCGATTTTAATTGATTTTTTTTTTCAATATCTTTTTTTTTTTTAACAACTGATATTATTAACAAAGTAGGAGTGTGCTTAGTCTCACTATGCGCTTGTAAAAATGTGATTTAAATTCATATTTGAAGGGAATCAAACCTAAAACTTCTCACTTAATGAAAAAGAATACCATTAAAAAAACCCTGAGCTTTTATTTTTGCACGAATAAGCTTATTCTATATTTCTGTTGAAAATGTTTTACTTTAATGTTTATGGTTTTGTCCTTAGATTTGTACTCGATGAATTACTTTTAGGTGGTGCTACACACAAACTTATTTTTACTTGTCATACACTCCTTATTAATTTTTGTCCTTTAATATTTTTCAATTATTCGATCCAATGGTCAGAAATTGAAAAGGGTATATGAGATGTAAAAAAGAATGTGTATAGCACTGCCTTTACTTTTACTTTAACTTTGTAGATTATCACTTTAGATATTGCTTTCTAAATTTTGAAAAATGCTACATACATACAGGGCTAACTATGAGATTTTAAGGGCTAAGATAGTAAATAGGGCTTGTATAAGAACTCTTGCTACAAACCTAATGCATATGTCCATGGTTCTATTAATAAGAGATCTAAATGAGCAATATTAAATTAATAAAAATCATGAAAAAATAAATAAAAACACAATTTATACCAAACCTGTCAAAACCAAACTAAAACATGAAAGTGATTCCTCTTATGCACATCAGGCCATATTTATCTTATTCACACACAGAATTTAGAAAAAAATTCAAAGGTGAAATTTTTTTTGCCACAAACCAAATTAGTATATATGTAGATGATAACATCTTTTAGGAGCCTTTTACGGTTTGGAGCCCCGTCCAAAGACACTTATTGCACATAACCAAAACCGCCACTGCATACATATGTGACTTGCATCTCATCAGCCAACTCTCTGGCATTTGGAAGGCTAAGCGGAGGAGCTTCTCAGGATCAAGTTGAGCTAATCTTTATTCTGTCGAAACATGAACGAAAACAAACATATGATTGTAGAGTGATATTCTAAACGAAATTACACAACACTTATATTTTTACTGATTTTTATTACTATTTATTGGCTTAGTATTTTAATAAAATTGTTAATTCATAATTGGGAGGAGTTATTGAGTGTCGGTGGTGTGTGAAACATGGGATTACTGCTCTATTTG